TGGGCCGGTCTTGTCCCCTCAACATTGCACAAGCTGCAACGAGAGGGAAACATTTCAGCCGCCCATGCCAACATATAACCATGTGTCTTTCCTTCGGCAACCGGACTTGCCAGCATGACGCAAACAAATAATGGAACAAGCACTATTTGCAAGCCCGTCCACAAGGACCAACAGTCCAACAGTGTCCGAGGAATCAAAATATCAGAACATTGACAAGAACAGTAACAATCCCACCTGTCACAAGACACCATACTCCTTCCTGACCACACAGCATCCCTCACTCCGCGCATCGTACGTTCAGAACTGCAAAGCTGCAGCCACCCGCCATGCCACAGGAATTTGGCACTTGAAAGCCCAAAAAAGCGAGCTGCAAGCCGTAAGCCCTGCTGTGCCATCTGGGCTTGTCAGATCCCCTCTACGTTGCACTAGCTGCAACAAGAGGGAGAGAATGCAGCCTTCCTTCAAGGGCTAACCATTCACGTTGCGACGTATTGATCGCGTTGCCGGCTGCAGTCAACCAACAGCCAGCAGCAAGCGCTGCATGTAGAATGGCTTACGGAACAACTCAGTGATCACCGGTTACTGTGACAGGATAATGGCACTTGCAAGCTCAAGTTCAGCAATGTGAGCTGCAAGCAGTAAGTCCTGCCATCACGGTGCCATCTGGGCTGGTCTTGTCCCCTCAACATTGCACAAACTGCAACGAGAGGGAAAGATTCCAGCCGCCCATGCCAACATATAACCATGTGTCTTTCCCTTCGGCAACAGGACTCGCCAGCATGACGCAAACAAATAGTAGAACAAACACTATTTGCAAGACCGTCCACCGGGACCAACAATGTTCGAGGCATCAAAACATCAGAACATTGGCAAGAACAACAACAAACCCACCTGGTGCAAGAGACTGTACAAAGTCCTGACATCGTGACTTTCAGAATTGTGCAAAAATGCAGCCACCCGACCTGCCACAGGAATTTGGCACTTGAAAGCCCAAAAAAGCGAGCTGCAAGCCGTAGTGCCATCTGGGCTTGTCAGATCCCCTCTACGTTGCACTTGCTGCAACTAACCATTCACGTTTGCGACGTATTCACAGCGTTGCCGGCTGCAGGCAACCAACAGGCAGCAGCAAGCGCTGCATGTAGAATGGCTCACGGAACAACTAAGTCACCACCGCTCACTGTAACAAGATAATGGCACTTGCAAGCTGAAGATCAGCAATGTGAGCTGCAAGCAGTAAGTCCTGCCATCACGGTGCCATCTGGGCTGGTCTTGTCCCCTCAACATTGCACAAGCTGCAACGAGAGGGAAAGATTCCAGCCGCCCATGCCAACATATAACCATGTGTCTTTCCCTTCGGCAACAGGACTCGCCAGCATGACGCAAACAAATAATGGAACAAACACTATTTGCAAGACCGTGCACCGGGACCAACAATGTCCGAGGCATCACAACATCAGAACATTGGCAAGAACAACAACAAACCCACCTGGTACAATACAAAGTCCTCACATCGTCACTTTCAGAATTACAAAAACGCAGCCACCCGCCCTGCCACAGGAATTTGGAATTTGAAAGCCCAAAAAAGCGAGCTGCAAGCCGTAAGCCCTGCTGTGCCATCTGGGCTTGTCAAATCCCCTCTACGTTGAACTAGCTGCAACAAGAGGGAGAGAATGCAGCCTTCAAGGGTTAACCATTCACGTCTGCGACCTATTGACCGCTGTTGCTGGCTGCTGTCAAACAACAGCAAGCAGACAGCGCTGCATGTAGAATGGCTCACGGAACAACCAAGTCATCACCGCTCAATGTAACAGGATAATGGCACTTGCAAGCGCAAGCAGTAAGTCCTGCCATCACGGTGCCATCTGGGCTGGTCTTGTCCCCTCAACATTGCACAAGCTGCAACGAGAGGGAAAGATTCCAGCCGCCCATGCCAACATATAACCATGTGTCTTTCCCTTCGGCAACAGGACTCGCCAGCATGACGCAAACAAATAATGGAACAAACACTATTTGCAAGACCGTGCACCGGGACCAACAATGTCCGAGGCATCACAACATCAGAACATTGGCAAGAACAACAACAAACCCACCTGGTACAATACAGAGTCCTCACATCGTCACTTTCAGAATTACAAAAATGCAGCCACCCGACCTGCCACAGGAATTTGGAACTTGAAAGCCCAAAAAAGCGAGCTGCAAGCCGTAAGCCTTGCTGTGCCATCTGGGCTTGTCAGATCCCCTCTACGTTGCACTAGCTGCAACGAGAGGGAGAGAATGCAGCCTTCAAGGGTTAACCATTCACGTTTGCGACGTGTTGACCGCGTTGCCGGCTGCAGCCAACCAACAGCCAGCAGCAACCGCTTCATGTAGAATGGTTTACGGAACAACTAAGTGATCACCGGTCACTGTGACAGGATAATGGCACTTGCAAGCTCAAGATCAGCAATGTGAGCTGCAAGCAGTAAGTCCTGCCATCACGGTGCCATCTGGGCTGGTCTTGTCCCCTCAACATTGCACAAGCTGCAACGAGAGGGAAAGATTCCAGCCGCCCATGCCAACATATAATAACCATGTATCTTTCCCTTCGGCAACAGGACCCGCCAGCAGTTAGCAGCATAACGCATACAAATAATGTAACAAACACCATTTGCAAGCCCGTCCACTAGGACCAACAATGTCCGAGGCATCACAACATCAGAACATTGGCAAGAACAACAACACACCCACCTGGTACAATACAAAGTTCTCACATCGTCACTTTCAGAATGAGAAAAAACGCAGCCACCCGCCCTGCCACAGGAATTTGGCACTTGAAAGCCCAAAAAAGCGAGCTGCAAGCCGTAAGCCCTGCTGTGCCATCTGGGCTTGTCAGATCCCCTCTACGTTGCACTAGCCGCAACAAGAGGGAGAGAATGCAGCCTTCAAGGGTTAACCATTCACGTCTGCGACCTATTGATCGCTGTTGCTGGCTGCTGTCAAACAACAGCAACCAGACAGCGCTGCATGTAGAATGGCTCACGGACCAACTAAATATCACTGCTCACTGCAACAGGATAATGGCACTTGCAAGCTCAAGTTCAGCAATGTGAGCTGCAAGCAGTAAGTCCTGCCATCACGGTGCCATCTGGGCTGGTCTTGTCCCCTCAACATTGCACAAGCTGCAGCGAGAGGGAAAGATTCCAGCCGCCCATGCCAAGGTATAAACACGTGTCTTTCCCTTCGGCAACGGGACTTGCCAGCATGACACTGACAAAGCAAGCTCGGTGGGCTGGGTCAAATATGGCCTGAAGCATATCAAAGAACGCGGAAACCGTCGTAGAGCGGGTCTATCTAAAAATGCTCTCCAAAATGAACACCTGGGTTTATGGATCAACTACTTCCCCAGCAACCAAACCCCAATGAAGAAATATGAGGGCGTATTATTTCACCCCTACTGTGCTCTCTAAGGGGTATATTCCAGCAGTGTGGTGGTACAACCTTTGAACGGATCAATCCCGGGATCCAATTCCCTCGTATTCACGGGACCCCATCTGGGGTTTCTGACTTGACTTCACTCCATCTCTTAAGGGCTTTCTTCCATGTTCACCCCGAGTTCATTGTGGATAAACATATAGGCCACTCTGTCCAGCATTCATTTCTGCCAGAGATGCTGTCCAAAAAAAAGTCAGGCTTGGATCCTTAAGTAAGGCACCTTCATCATGTTTTACCCCCCCCCCCCCCCGAAACGGAGAACAAAAACCCCACAAACCAGGCAGCACATGTGCCTTTTGCTTCGAGCTCCCTTAGGTTCTCACCCATTTAAACCCCGGTGTCTCGCGGAATATATATATATATATATATATATCCGCCGACATTGTTCGGCGTGTCGGATACCTAAGAGAGGACTATTGGATACCTAAGAGAGGATAGAGGATAACCCCCCCCTTAGTCCCCCCCCGGGACACGTCAAATACGCATGGTTTTTCGGTCGCCACCCCCCCCCCCTCCCCCGCGTACCGCGCGGCAATTTGATGACGTTCCACTAAACGTAGTCTTCGGGGAGCGGGTCTGGAGAAACGGGGGTCCCAGGCTCGAATCCTCCCGCCGCCTCTTTCTGCCGGCTGAGGTTTTGTGCTGCCTTTTGCGGAAAACTTTGAGACACACGGTGTTCGGTGTTTTTCCTTTGCTGACACCATTGAAAAAAAACATTGTGTTTTCCGATTTCCTTGACAATTGGCACCAATTTCCCCTAATTTCCCCCAATGCTTCCCCGCAAATTGCGCCTTACTTTCTCACCAATTCCCTCCCACTTTCCTTTCAATTTCCATCCGACTTCCCCCCAATTTCCCCCCCAGTTTCCCCCAAATGTCCTGGCAAATTCCCCAACCCCAGCTTCCTTCCAAGTGTCGCCCCCAATGTCCTTCGTGTCGGATACTTGGCCGCAGTTCCGCTCCGCAGTTCCAAGTGTCCCCCACATTTCCGCTCCGCAGTTCCCCCTTAAGAATCAGCTCCACTGCTGTTCAGTCCCTCAAAAAAGGCTGGTCTTCCATTTGCAGAACGTCCCCCGAAAAGATTACACATTTTTACACTACTGCCACAGGATAACAACACATAGGAAGCAAGTGAAGTAACTGATGAAATCATGATACCACCTTCGAAATCCGAGAACTTTTCCTGTATCCAACTGGTCAGCACTGAAACTGCAATTCCACATTTCCGCTCCCAGACTTGCCATGCTAAGCCACGCTTCTCGCAAGCAAGAATGCCATACAAGGGGCAACCTCAACACCCCTCAGAAATCAGCTTATCCGCGCACCCCGCCAAAATGACATGCAGTGGCCATGACATACCACCCAACACTAAGGTGCCCTAAGCATACTAGGGGGACACGGGCGAGAGGAAGAAGGAGATAAGCTAGATGCCAATGTCGGCGGACTGAGCCGGAGGCTCTAAAGTAATTACATATATATATATATAAATCGCGGCCGCACGCCGTCGAACACCAGCTCAGTACTGCCGGCGCTCCTGGTCGGTGAGGGCGATCACCATGGGGTGCAGCTTCCTGTGGGGCGTTTTTTTCCAACCAAAGGGCCTGGGAGCAAAACACATGTTGGCAGCCCGCCCACTAAACATGAACAAAGCCAAACAACCGTGAATATATATATATATATGCATATAGCATATCAATAATATGTATATATATATATATCTTATATATATATATTATGCTGAAAAAAAAAAAAAACAAAAAACAAGACACAAACAGTCAAGGCTATGCCCCTTCGGCAAACAGTTAGTAACTTGTTGTTCAAGGGAGCCACCAAGAGAGCACACAGAAATGTTCCCGCGATGCGAGAAGCGTTCAAGGCAGCCAACCCTTTCGCCAAGCTTCCGGTGCACTCGCTGGTGCAGGTACCCGCTGCGCCCGATTGGGCCAAAGACGTCCATCCTGCCCAAATGTGACCGACGGATTTCGTGCGTGGCAAAGCTCATGGACGCAAGGGCTATGGGGAGCGGGGCTATCCCTGCTCCTGAAGAAGTGAATAGCCCATAACGCCCCTTGGTTCATGAGAACCCTTCGGCACTGCCGTAAAAACATTCAAAAAGCAAGACTATGGAAAGTAGGCTGCCAAGATGTTAATGAGGTGTCTACCTTGTGTACCTGCAAGATGGCGCTGTTGACCCTGTCACCTGCGGAGAATCAGAAGTCAGAATGGACAAAAGGAAAAACCAAACGGATGGAAGGTAAGGCTTGGGCAACTGAGAGCTGGTCAGTTGCCCTGGACGAGACGTGGAGACCAACAGTTTCACAAGAAGCTGCGCCATGTCACGCTCTCGAAACCGCGGCACTTGCTAAGACACGCTGGGCAACTCCACGCACTGCCCAAAAGGCTGAACATATTCCTACCATAGGTGTCCTTGTGGTAAAATTGATTCATTTCCCTGGCAAATGGATTGCATAAAACCCATCTAAACCAGTGGCTTGCCCATCTATATTTCCTTGCCGGAACCGACCTAAAACTCAGTTGCAGTTTAGGGGCCCAGAGATAAACGGTGATCACCTTTGGGGGGGTACCGAAAAGGGGAAATCTAAAGGTGAATTCAGGTCTGATTCGCTTTGGTTGCAAATGAGAAGAAAAAGGACACCATGCAACCAGCCGCATGCCGAATCAACCGGGTCCTCTGCTGCGGGACCCCTGGCAAGCCGATATCGCCAGAAACTGGAAAGCGTGGAAAGCCTCGGAGTTGGACATCAAAAGGTAAGATTTGTGGATGTCTTCTAGGGTAAATATACAATGGTACATGTTGGTACCCAGGCAATCAATAAGACATCATGTCTTCGGGTATGCCATTTGTTGATTGGGTTGTTTGAAACCAAGGGGAACCGTGTCAGTCCATTGGCCACACTCAGCCTAGCAATTGGAACCCACCAGGCACACCAAGACAAGACCTATAGTTGATTTCACTCATATGGGTGGCATGTCATTCTCTAGAGTTGGTGCGTTGCTTTATTGATGATTTGGAGGACAATCAAAAAGGAAATCCACCATCTTAGGATGGAGTCCGAATCCGGAAAAAGTCACGCCCATATGTAGCCAACCTCAACGGAATTTCTGAGAGCCCATTGTCAGCTTCCCTCTAACTGGTGGTTTGGTTTGGTCTGGAAGCGAGCGGGTAGCTTCCATGTACAAGCCACGAATCCAAACCACCAACTAAGGCTCACCGATCTTTACCGGACAATTCCCACAAAAAAAAAATGTGAATCCAAACCACCAACTAAGGTTTACCGATGTTCACCGGACAACTCCCACAAAACACACCCACATGTGCCCAACCTCAAAATCCAAAGGTATTTTCAGAGACCCCATTGAGCGCATTCCCCAGCCGAACTTCGAGGTTCAACCAGCCGACGCCTTGGGTCATGGCACGCTCCTCCTCGGGGCCTGCCCAATCGCCAGACACCGGGGATCCTCTTGAAGGAACCCACGACTTGCTGGTGCGATAAGTAGGGAATGAGAAAGTCAACCTGGGGATTCCCTTAAAGGAAACCACAAGCGATGGTATATATATATATATGAATAGGGGTCATTCCCTCATTCCCTGCTGAGCACCAGCAAGGCAAGAGAGATGGCTTCAGGTAAATCAACATGGAACCACTGACATTGTAGAAGGGGTTCCTGATGAGTTTCCTGGAGATGGTTGTTTAGAACATTGGCTGGCTAATGTTGAACGGGAAATATGCTGCTGTTCCAAACTGGGTGTGAAAAGGGGTGGGACGGGTGGACATATGGGAAACATGTCCATAGCTGCCTTGAGGGACTACTATAGCAAATATGGGTTGTCAAGCGCCCGGTAATGTGCTTGTACCCTTTGGACATTGCATCGTCTTCTGAACTGCCGGAGGTACCATTGGTCTAAAATGTGCTATTTCACTGATGTGGCGCGGCAAGGTGGTCTCCGCAACACGTGGCTGTGGCTTTTTGTTGAGGCTCGGTGCCCTTTTTGGTTCGTTGAGGACACCAAAAATAAACTTTTTGAGGGTCCCTGTTTTGTGGACAAACCTAGGGTTCAGGATGGGTGTCCCTATCCAGAACATCGCCCAATTCGAAGAACATCGGTTCAAACCTATGGCTCAGACTCGGTTTCCAACAAAAATCGCCCACTTTTGAAGAAAGTCGGTCCCAACCTTCCAAACCTATGGCACAGACTCGGTTTCCCCATTTCCAAAATCGCCCATGTTGGAACCTCGGAACCCCGAAGGCGTCGCTGTTTCGCCCGCTGATGGCTCCCACCTGGCAGTCCCAGAGATCGGAACTGCTCGCTGAAGCTCAGCTTGCCTGGCGTGCGGACCCCCAAACCTGGACCCCGTGGGCCCCCGGGGCCCCCCCCCAACAAAAAAAAAGAGTAGAAGGCTTTGTTTCTGTTCTGAGAATGGGGGGTTTGAAACATGAAGCTTCATGAGAAAAACATGGCTGTGGGTCTCACAATTTCTGGTACCCCCCCCTTTCAACCCCGGATTCCCTTTAAAAATGGACCAAACAAAAGGGGGGGTACCAAAGAAAGGGGGGCCTCTGCGTTGTTTTCGGGGCTCCCCCCAACCCCAGGGTTCGGAAGAGCCTTCCGGGTTCTGATCGAAGGGTTCAAACTCTAACCCATCCAGCCAGGAGTCCCTCGAAAACATGACTCATGACAACCAAGAGCAGGGCCCTATACTTCCTCTTAAAACACTCGCCCAGGGAACATCACTTCAAGTCAGCCCCAAAACACGATGTGGAAACTGTAGGGAGGTCTCTAAAGGGGTCAAATCGACCAACTTCTGGGTGGGCACAGGGTTTAGGCGAAAAAAAGAAAAGAAACAAGAAATGCGGCGCTTCAAACCGCCATGAAAACGGCAATTTCTTGGAGCCCCCTTCGGCTCGAGCGCCAGCCCCCCCTCGCGGCCTAGCGCCAGCAGCTCTTCAGAGGTGAACTTGCTGGCGACGCCGTGGAGCTTCCGGTGCACTCGCTGCCTTTCGGCCGGGAGATTCGCGCGTCGGGCGCGGGCGAAGCGCGTCGGGCGCGGGCGCGTCGGGCGAGGCGAGAAAATTGTTTAGGCGGAGAATCAGCTAATTACTCACTTCCTGTCAGCACTTTCCTCGCGGTGTTTGGAATGAATGCATGTACAATTGTAAAATATCGCCAGAAGCTGAAGCAGTACATACTCCTTTGCAGGTGGAAGAAGGAAAGGTCAGGTATGGGTCGATCCGCTGGCAACTCACTTCCGTGGGCGGAAGGTCCAAACTTTTCTGCCACTAATGGTGCTCCCCAAAAAGTCAGTCCAAGAACTCGGCACTGACAGCTTTCGTGGGCCATTGGATGTGACGCGAGCTGTTTTCATTGAGTTGCTCGAAGGAAACCGGACTTGCCCACAAAGAAAAGCAACTTGAATCGGGGCCCCCTATGTTTCCCCGAACATCGCCGTTACCAAGCAATGCTCACCTTCAATGGGCCAAAAGGGGAATATGGGAGCGCGTCCCGTGCAACGAGTGAGCTCTGCCGAGCCGTTCCGCGGCGTCGGGTTCAAAAACGAAGCATGTCAGGGGGCACAAGCATGCTGTTTTCACTGGTGTCTTTGTGGGGTTGTTTTAAAGGTAAAGCGGAAAGCCACTTGGACTTGTTGTAAGGGGGTTCCCTGAAAACAAAGACAAACCCATCTTGTGTTTTTGGATCCTGCCGTTTTGTGCCGCCTTTTGAACGGCTCCCAAAAACAGGGGCCTTCATTTTGACAACAAACGCTGAAACGGCGCTAGGCCACGACTCTCCACGCTGCGCCGATGCTTGTTGGTTTGTTTCCCCGAAAGGAACTTGGCTAGTGTTCGACCGTTTTTCTCACGTCATCATGTTCGTAAAAGGCACAGATCTGGTGTGAATCATATACTTTCTTACCAATCTGCAGTCGCAGCTGGCAATCTCGCAAATGGGCGCGTGCCCCATGAGGTTGAAACGCCGATTGGCAGAGATGGGCTAGCTGCACGTGCTACAAAGGTGGGATGCGGTCGGGACTTGCCGGCTCTTGTCGCATGTCAGTATCCAGGGGGCAAGAAAGCCGCCACTCCAACTTGTCTGAGACATGCGTGTGGTGCACCCCCGCATCGGGTTTGGACATGTCTTCCGCACGCAAAGATCCTGTCGGCGATGACACCATGACCGCAGGAAAAGTGTGCGCTGAAAGCTTGGCAGGGCCCTTGCGCCTCATGCCCAGGCGCCCATGAAAGGTATGCCTTCATGGATGAGGCCGTGCGCTCGCGACCATTCTATATAAGTTTCATGGGACCTACACTTCTGCTCCACTTGCTTTCCTCACACAAGACCCTATAACTCACCTCCGAGGTGGGTTGGTCAGAGCAAGTTCAGCCTGTTTGGTTCCCAAAAGGGACCGAAGTTCAGGAACTGGGGTCGTCAAGCTGGCCAAAGCTCTGGTAACTTCGCCACGTGTTCCCGGGTGTTCAACAAAGAAGCCTAGCAGCGGATCCCAAATTCAGCTTATGCCGCCCTTCCCAAGTGAAAATCAATTCTCCGTTGCAACAAATTCACCATCCTCAAAAGAGTGGAAGAGTTTCAATCAGAAAACAAGCAACTTTCAAAAAGCCTGGCTGTCATAGGTGTCCTTTTGGGATTGGTTTGGTTAGACATTTGGATTATGACACTGGTTTAGATGGGCTTTGTTCATTTTACCAGAGCCATCTATTTTTTCAAAAGGGTCAGCTATGCTACCTGCCTTACTTTCGCTCATGACAACCCCCCCAACCCCCCCCCCCTCCGCCCCACCAAGGAGAGCCGAGGCGCTGAAGATAGCCCTGGAATCCCAGCTGTTGGAAGAGCCCCTCCGCCCCTGGCCAGACTGATGACCCTTTTCGAGAGGGTGGTCCAACAGCTCGGTTGCTGTCTGCTCCCCTGCTAAACGTTTAACTTTTAGTGGTTTAATACGGAAAACCAATTAGTTGGCAAGAAGTTAAAGTCCTAACATCCCTTGGCAACATGCAACAAAGATAGAACCCTGGAACCTGACATGGGGGCTGGTTTGGATCATTTTCCTTTTCGAGCCAAGGGATCGAGGATGCGTGATCCGTTCGGTCGAACACCCTCCCACCAATTGACATGGAACCTGACGTTCGGACCCGTCCTGGACCATCTTCCTTTTAAAGGGACCCCCGAACGTCAGGTTCCGTGGAGGGTACCTGCAAAAATGGGAAAAAAAGGCAGCAATTGCAAAAAGAAACCGGGTCGGGGGGGAACATTTCTGCGCCTGTAGGTGATTAGTCACCCCAAATGCAGTTCATGTCCGCCTTCATCTTGAACCGCTAGAAGGCGACGTGAATCCCCAACACCGCCATTGGGACACAATCTAAGGCCCCCCGCCTTTTTCAGAAGGGTTCTTAGCATGAGTTCAGCCGCCCTAATCGTCGTCCCTCAAGGGCATGTTCACAAAGTCAAGTGTGGCTGATTGTGCCTTGGGTCTTTTCCAAGAACCACACCCAATGGATTCCATCTGTGGGGAATGAGGATGCAGCTTAGCACCTTAGCACATTGGAACAAATCTAAATTATGCCCTGTACCAGGAACGAACTAGCAAGGTTGTTAGAAGTCTTGCAGCACTATCCCCTAAGCAATAAACATGCTACCGGTGCTGGGGGGGAAGCCAAGATTCATCGGTCAAAGTGTTTCACTTACACATTTCCTGCTACTGGCAACGGACACTACAGCAACTCGGACACAAACTCGTGGCCGCCATAAATCCTGAAGGGTGGCGAACTCTCCAGTAATGACCTTTGTCAGTTGGGCAAACTTGACCGGACCGGTAGAAAAGCCGCCATCCGTTCGGCCCAATCGCCCAATTTCGCCGCATCACCACCGAGTAAGGTCAGCCAATCGCCGCACCTCGATGGCGTTCCTCAACGCTTCGGCAAGAATTGCAGGCGCTTTGGACTCCAAAGAACCCGATCTCGCCCTCGCTTGAACATCTGCGGTCGAACCCTGACGCCTTGCCAGGTTTCCCCTCGGATTTGGGGAGGACAGCTTGGCCATCACAAAAGGGTACTCAGGAGCTGCGTGCCTCTGAACCAAGTCTGCGGAACTCGATCTGCGTTCAAAATTTGATGCTCTAAACTGACATGGTTTGTTTGGTCAGGCTTCACCTCCCAATTTCCCAGTTCTAGTTTGGGGCTCGCCTGCGCCATGCCATCCCCTGTGCTTGCTACAAAAAATGAACCGGCAATAGTGACGCGGAACATGGTGTTAAGGCTGACGGGAAGAATGGGAATCACCATGAATTACCCATCCCCTTTGCTTCTAACCAGAAGCCCATCCAATTCCCGAACCTTCGGACCCGCTTATAAGCGAGGCGTGGAGAAAAAAAAAAAAACACCTGTTTTTTCCCTTCAAAGGCCGTCGTCTTTTGGGGTGAAATGAGGCCACGTGGACTTGGGCTTGATTAACTCAGCTGCCCCTTACAAACCCAGAAATCAAAGGGGATCACCTTTGGTGGCCACTAAAACTAAAAATGTGTACCAAAAAGGGAAAACCTCCAGGTTGATTCAAGTCGATTCGCTTCGGGCTTCATTTCAACCACGGGCTCCAGGATTCCAAAAGCGCGCGGAATCCACGGCGCAACCCAGAAAACGAGTTTCGAGCAAATTGGGCCTTCGCCGTGCGAGGCCAACCTCGAAGGCTCGAAAGGGACTCTGAAACCCGAGGCTTGCAGGGGTGGTGTCCCTTTAAACCAGTTGGGGAGTTGGGGAGTTGGGGAGTTGAGGAGCTGGGGAGTTGGGGAGTTAGGGAGCTGGGGAGTTGGGGAAGATAGAGGATAGTTCTGAGGAAGAGTGTGCCAATGCATTTTTTTTTGGTTGGTTCAATCCCTTCAAAGCACGATTACTCCAAAAACCCGATCGGCGCGAGGGTACACACCTGGCCCCGAGGAAAAGAACAAGAGGAAAACAAAATTAATGGTTTACGGTGGGGGGGTTGGTCTTGAACCCACGGAGACGCTTGTGCCCCACGAATTCGAACCTGGAATAGTCACATCTTTGCCTGGGCTTCATTCTTCTCAAAGTCACCCCGAGGACAAGTCAAGGGGAAAGAAGCACGTTTGCCGACCTTGACACCTCCAGGCAGGACCACTCAAAACACCGGCCCTGTGCGATTTTATCAACTAACAGCGGGGCTTCCCACGCTGCCCGAACATCCGACATCACCTGCCGAACCAACACTAAATAGCTGGAACACAATCGTTCCTATGCGGATCCCAAAAGCCAGCAACTATTCCTCTTAAAGGAACAAGTATTATTCAGGTGTTTCCCGGTCCTTAAGCACCCCCTAGGGGCGCAAATACCGTCAAACTCGCAATTTATCGCGTAAGGAAATTGCATGAAATCGATCAAACCATTTTTGCTGGGATGTCCTGTTCAAATTTGAAAGGCATATAATTGAAATTGCAGTTTGACAATTTGGAGACTCGCTCCTACAAACAGTTTGTCGGTTTAGAACTGGTGTAGTATTAGCTCAATTCGATCGCACCGACGGCAGGACACAACCCACTGGAGGCTGGGTGATCTCCGTAAATGTTGACCACACCTGGCAAAGTTCCGAAAGGCAGCGTTCGGGCGAGAAATCGATCCCCGCATCCGATGTTTAAGGCTTCGGCATCTGCTCTAGAGCATCGAACTGGTCGTGAAAGCTCAGTTCGCCTGGCGGAGCTAAAGGTAGACTGCCCTACAAATCAACACGAACCCCCGGAAAAAAAAAAGAAAGAAAGAGAGGAGACTCCTCTTGGGGGACGCTTCTCCTTTAGGTTCCATGTTAGTTTGAGAGCAACATACTGGCCTCATTTGTTCACCATCAAAGTCACCAAGTGGAAAGCAGAAGGGAGACACCCCCAAATTTCTGACTTTAACCCCCAGAAGAAGTCAAGGATCCTAGAAATATCTCTACCTCAGTTTGGGACACTACATGATAATGATATGCTTGCTTCCAGCCGATTAGCTCTGTTCAAAAGACATGGGGAAAAATCAAACCCGCAACCAACAGCCATACATCCCACCAAGAAACGAGACGCTGGTAGAATTGTCCGATATGCGTATGCCTGTACATAAAACGGCCGTTTCCCTTGATTCCTTTTTGCAACTACCTGTTGAGCTCAATGGCCGAAGGAAGCAACTAAACTTGCTGGGCCTTCACTGACACGAAGGCATCAAGCTGTACAAGGAACCCACATGCGTGTGTCCTTTCTTGAGATAGCCTTGTCTAGGTTGTGTTAAAGGAGCGCCCAAAGTTGCCATGACACCCAAGACGCCTAAGCACCTAGATGAGCGAAACTTAGAACTTGATTCTGAGACGTCAGCCGCCAAAGGAACCAAATAATATGCATGCGTATACATACAAATAGTGTCAAAATGTGGAGGTTGATCAATATTTCTGGCCCCCAAATGACCATGAGTAACTGTCCCCATTTGATGGGACTTATCTTCTTTTTAGTGGGTTCCCCCAATGGTTCTCCCATGTTCCTCGGACCTTTTGATCAACCCCCTTTACACAAATGCATATCATATCATATGTATAGCGGCGCAGTGAACAATGCCGTTGGCCAAAAGTCCCGGTTGCTCCCAAGGCCCCGGTCGGATAAATTTAGCGGCAGTGCTTCCCTCAGTGAAGGATCAACTCGACGATGGAAGTAGGGCACCGCTTCCCCGAAAAAAAAAAAGTGGCTGTCCTTTCGGCTTTCCTTTAAATGCATCAAAAAGGGGGGCATCTTCAGAGAAAGACAATCAACCCGCGGTGTCATTCCAGCTTTGTCGCTCGCTTGAGAACGTACCGCTGAGAATCGTCTGTGAGCGCCACAAATTTGGGAAGCGGCGCGAACTGCTCGAAGGCCGCGAGTGTGGCTTGCAACTCGATCTCGTGCCCTCATGAGAAGCCGGGCACACAGCGTGCGCTCCTTCGACACGTGAGTCACTTGCTCAAAGCCCGGTATTTTTCCGAAAAAGCCCATGGCCGCAACTATTAACTCTGGCTGGGATTGCCCCTTTCTAGCCTCCTTCAGGTCTAGAACCATGGCCGCAACTATTTCCCTGAGGCTAACATTGCCCCTTCGCCTTCATGTCTACCCGGGTTTTGAGCACGTGGCTCACGTGTCCTTTCGGCTTGGGGTCCGGCGGCATGAGATGCAACGGGCCAAGGGTCAGCCAATCGATTCGCTTCGGAGTGGAGCTCTGCCAAGACTTTGGGCCTTCGCTGACGCAGTGCACTGGAGGTTTGGAGAGGTTGACAGGCCCGGTGAGTCCATTTGCTTGAGTAGGAAATGGGAACCCGATAGAAAACCAAGTGACCTATGGCTTGCCTGGGAACCATAGGCTTTGCTATACTCTTTGGTCCCTTGTTACAACCAGGTAGGCGAGCGGAACTCTCGTAAAACAAAAGACAGACACATCTTGCCACCTGGCACTTTGGGTGCTGCCACAACGACACCTGCTAACTGTCTTTAGAATAATTAGTGAACCTGAAACAGACATAATTTCGGCTGTGTCTTTTTGCGAGGGTACCCTTTTTGAGGTTGGTTTAGAGGGAAACTAAAGGAGAGCCACCAATTTGTTGGGGCCCCTATTGTGAGACACCCAAATGATCAAAAGAGATCCTTGAAACTTAAGTGGTGACCCAAAGGGTCGGAATCATTTTCAGGTTTATGTCCGCACGGCTTGAAGGCATTCCCTGGAAGTCTTTCATTTTGCAGAATCTCACAGCCGAAAAATCATGGGAAGCCCCCACCCCTGCCGGGCCCATAAAGGTAGCATTCTGGCGATTGGTCATGGGGGGGGAGGAGCATTCCTGTATTTTTAACAATATCCATCCCCTGTCAGTGTCAGTGAACATTCAGGCTATGTATTCTTCGGGTTTGGTTTCCGAACACACGTGGACACACGTGGACAACCTGTGTAAACTTATGCCCTGGTATCGGTTGGTATCATTTCCTCCTTCTCGGTTTACAATGTGTTGGGCCTATGAGTGGTCAAACGTGCCTTAAGTTGCTGGCGTGGGCACTTTTCGACTGGCAAAGCGCGGCTGACCGGACTGGTCGCCATTGGAGACGAGTCTGCGATCAGTTGGCTATCGGTTTGGGCCGTAGTTTTGGGGACTTTTGGTTGCATCCATTCTTCCCTCACTGACAAAACCTGGATCCGCTCAAAGCAGTGCTAAGCAGTGGCAAGTTAAGCGGTACAAAGAAACAAGGACCGTGATCCAAATTTCTTCGCGGTTTTTGGGAGTCTTGTTCTCCTCCCCTTCGCTTTGCAGCGTTCCATGCCTGCAAAACCAGGTTGGGGGCCGGGTCCTCACATTGCAGAAAACCTCTACTTGCTTGAGTCCCCTGGACACAAACGTACTTCCAGTAGTGAGTCCTTTCAAAACCAACAAGAGCTTCAAACATGTCTGCTACGGAAGAACGCCTGCAGGGAATTCACTTCGACCACTGGAGCAATTTCGTCGACCGAATCGATTTCGGCCTAAGCTCTGCAAATCCTCATCGCTCAGCTTCACCGCCGAGCCATGCAGCCTCGGCGAGCGAGCCGCTCGTGGACTCGGGGCAAAAAATGGGCTACTTGGCCATGGGTCAAAACCAATGGGATCCAATTTTGGGGTAGGTGCACCGCCTTCTTTAGTCCATTTTAGTGGGGGATTGGGATGTTCACTGGGGGCTAGGCCACTTGAGCCCGTGTGGAGTTTATTTGGGTCAAAAGAAGTACTCACTCCCTGCGTGGCTGGGCCTCAGTTGGAACACTGCTTTTGTTTGCCACTGAAATGGTCTCCCAAGTGGGAAGTCCAGAAACTCGGGGAGGGAGCGAGGCCAATTGTTTGCCCCTACCAACATTGGTCTTTGCCTCAAACTCCCATTCCAATGATTCAGGCTTAATTACACATGAGAGAATGGTATGTCCAAGTCCAGTTGCATATTTTCCGTCTACCCTGAAATCTAGACCCCCCAATTTCCATGGCTGGCCCACGTGTAATTTTTCTGTCAAACTAGGGGCAACTACTTCCCGAAACTCCGCATGCGAGGTCGTGCCCGACATGCCAGAGCATGCCTTGAGGGGCGGAGACAGTGCCCTGTACCAACACCTGCAAAGTAGCTAGACTCTGCCCCCCCTTGGTAGTCAGACGGTCAGAATTACTATAGCTCCTTCTTGGACTTTTAAGGTCATCTATTCAAACGAGATGCGAGCATGTGTTCACAAGTCTTGCCATAATTTTGCACAACCCAACACCCCACAATTTCTACTCAGAGCTTGCAACCGCTAGTTGGCGTTTAAAGCTTAAAACATTCAAACATGGTCTGCAGCTCATCTTGGTTGCTGTTGACCCCCTGCAAAATGTTTCAGTTTTTGGGGGTGTAGTGGAAAACCCCTTGATTTCCCAAAAAGTTAAGGTCTAAAGATCCAACTCAATGGCCGTTAAGTCATTCGCTCCCTGACAGCCAGCCAAATGTTCAGCTCCGCTTTTCCTGGCGTCGCATTGGCCGGAGCCGCTGAGCTGCTAAGCGCCTGCCAATCGGTTGTCTCGGCAAAAACAAAACGGCTGGCTTGTTTTGTTTTCCGGGCTGCCCATGTTCAGATCCCCTGCTTCATTTGCTTATCCGGCTTTTATAACGGGTAAAATGGAAACCCAACCGCTACACCAACCAAAACACCAAAAAACCTCAGGAACCGGACGGCTGGAAACCGCCAAGTGGTGGTTTCCCTTTTAAATCAAACTCTCTTTCAACAAAAGGCGCACCCCAATTGATGGCCTCCGTGTGGTCTCCCAGTCCCGAGTTTTTCGGACATCCCTGACCGAGAACTCAAGCACCCCGAACAGACCCCTCTAGAAAAACAAGAGCCCCTCAAAATGCAACCGCTTGAAGGGACCCAACCCCCCGCCCAAAGAAAAAAACGAGTCGGGGTGAACTTGCTCAACGTTCAGATAATCAGGTAAAGCCGGCGACTGGTTTCGAGAAGGGCCCGTGATCAGGTCAACGTGAGACTTCTGAAAACATCATGCTCTCTTGAACCGATTCTTGCACACCAGAAGCTGAAGCCACACCAATATAAACTTCAGAGGAACATCTCAAATGAACATGTTTCCGCCAACAGCTCTGTAATCCCCTTTGGTTGACAGCACAAGCAAGCCCAGCCTTTAGGAGGTCCCCTCATTTTACGACAAACAAAAATCAACGTCCGCCCCACTGCCACCTCCCCACGCCCCACGCCGCCGTTTCGGCCTCCCTTGTCCTTCGCCTTCTTGCAGTCCGTCTGCACCCGGGCCATCTGGCGGATGTGAAGAGGGGTCCTGTGTTTGCCTACTTGGCGCTAATGTTGACCCACGATTAATAAACCCGTCCCACTATTAGGGGATGGTGCTCCCTCTAAAAGTGGTCTGAATCCCCACTAAACGGGGACACCCCCCTATTAATCAACCAGGGGTTTATTAATCCGGGGTTAAGATTACTTGCAAAGTTTAATTACGGCCATCGTATCCCAAATTGACCCTGGCCAGCTCCCCTTTGAAGACACAAATACAGCGCTTCCCAAGTGGGCAGGACAGGTTTCACCTTCCTCGTTGCGCGAGAGTTCCCTGGTTCATGGGGCTCCTGAGTGCGGTCCGAACAATGGCCGAACACTCATATCTATGATATAGGGGTCTGCAACCATGCAAAGGATCTGGCACAAACTGACGCTTTCCTTTTTCTCCAAGGTCCACAACTGCAATCTTAGAAATTGAGTGCAGGCGGTTGATTGCCTTTGTTTTTTTCCGCTCCCGCGAAAAGGTTCCAGTGTGCCACAGCGAAACGATCGTTGGAGGCTTACAGGAAAAGGATCAGAAAGAGCAACCAAGCCGGGAACACACAAACTAACCGCATGTAAACGTGCGGTTTGACCAGTTGCAAACAGGTTCAAACACGCGTGGAATCTAAATCCTGGCACTTCGGCTTGCATCTTGGATTCTATATTTGTGAAACATCCAGCTTTGTCTCTCAATCCCGGAAGCGAGTTGTCTGGGCCAGTATGCTCCTTTTGGTTCTTATATCTGTTGCCTCTTATCTAGACACCAACTGTGTGGCATTCAGGTTTCTCTCCCAGCCTCAATGTCGCTGTGCAATGCGGCGGCGTGCAAGGGCAATAAGCCATCCTCCTGACACCTGCACGGAACATGTCCCATCTTCCGGAGGAATATGGGTATGGGTCAAAACCAAACCACCAGTGAACTGCAGGCTATAGTCAACTTGTTTCCTGCCATGCCGGGGTTCAATTTTGGGTACCTATTGTTGAAATATATATATATATATATGAATTAGATATAAATAAAGACAGGGTAGGGATGTAGGTTATGTTAGTTTTTCAGTCATGATTGTAGAGTACTTGTTTTAGCCTCCCCGATAATACGCTCCCACCAACAAACATGGAAGTGTAGAGGGAACCAGCGTACAGGCACCTTTTGGAGGACTCATGACCTAGGGTTCCTGTGCACTTCCATGTTGGTTCGTTTGAGGGTATACCCTTTTGATGTAAAACAAAGCCACATTTCTGGAAACAACCAAGCAACACCCTCTCCCCCTCTCCCCTTCCCCTCCCACTCCCCCCCACCTCCCCCCAAGAAAACAAACAACAACAACATGGCAAAGCAACCCCTGACAAATTCGAGCCGAACCAGCGAACGCCCCAGTCAACGAACCTGTCAACATCAGCAGCAGCTTCGAGCAGCAGGTGCACCGGAGGAAAGTTCCCCGTCCTGCGCGACTTTTTGTGGGCGGGAGCAACTGGCACCTTCAAAGCTGCAACGGCCTTTGCCCCCAGAGCAGCCACCCCTTTGCGATGAGTGCTTGCAGACGGTGACCTGAAAGGTCGAAAAGGGCGGCTCGTCTCTTTTGGGAGTTGGCACCACTTGTTTGGTGGGCTCTTGGGAAAGCAAAAAAACAAGCACCTTTTTGGGGTCTCCTAGAAAAAAGAGAACCAAATTCTTGAGTGGCGAAGTCACCAAATAAATGCTAGAAAGAGAAGAATGACATGGTCAACTGGGCCTTTGACCCGCATTTCTGGCTGTTTCGCCAGCACAACCCAGTTGACCTGTATTTGGGGGTGTCCTGTTTTGAGAGCACTCTTTCTGGGCGGCTTTAAAGGGAAACCACCAGCAAAACCACCCTAAGTCCCCAAGAATTGGCACCCAGTCCCATTCTCTGCGCTCCTCACCGCGCAGAAGAGGGGCGTGGCACCGTCGTGGCGCGGCAAATTCACGTTGCAGCGAGCCGCCACCAGGTAGTGCATCGCCTGCAAACAGTTCTCGAGCCGAATGCCCGAGCGCTCCCTCAGGGCCGCGAGAAGGGAGTATAGGATCCCGCCTTAGCAGGTGCCAACAGAAACATCCCGAAGGATTTGAACGGCTATAGCTGCATGTGTCTAACTTTGAAGAATCCCTCTTTTGCGTGGTGGACCGTGTTCCGGATCCCCTCTTTTTCAATCCAGTGCAACTACAGGCTGATAGTCGTGGTCAAGCTTGTTCTGCGCGCCATGGTCATGCTTTTGATGAAATCAATTCCTTCCAGGTTTGGGTCCATGCTCATCACCAACTGCAAGCGCAAGGGAGGGTTCACCATGGCACAATGTTACTCATTTGCGTTCTGCTCCCCTGCTAAAAGTCTAACTTTTGGTGGCTTACTGGACAACCCAGTAGTTGGCAAAAAGTTAAAGTCCTAACAACCAAGCAAAATGCACCAAAGGTAATATTGGTGTCTTATCTTGGGGAACCCTTGTGTTGGTTGGTCTTTAAGGACAACTGAAAGGAAACCAGCCATCCAGTCACGAGTAGAAAAGGGACTCCAGTCTGTTTGGGGATTGACTATTGGATTGGGAGGAAGGGAAAAAGGGAGCCACTGAACAACTGGTAAGGTTCGATGTAGGAGTTTGGGGCACATAGAATCCACAAAAAATCGCGCCCAAACCGATTTATAAATCTGAGGGTGCCTTTTTGGGTGGTTTCACAAACAAACCAAACGACCAATGCATCCTGGAAGTACTTCTCCCTTCTCCCTTGTTCGAAGGGAACCCAACAAGGAAACCCATCTTTAGGCCTTAAGGGTCCCGTTCTTTTTTTGGGGGGACAGCCGCAAACCATTGCTCCCCGCTCGTCAGCAGAGGTGTGCAGTGGCCTTCCTCGGGTTGCTTCCAAGGGCGGCCAATCCGAGCTTCCGAAGGAAGTCGTGAGCTGAGAAGGACGAGGGAAGGATTCTGGATCTGCACTTAACTATAGTTCATGAACCTGAATGGCCTGAATTGAGACATTGGTGAGCTCGTCATCTCATGACTGGCCCCATTGTCTTACAATTCTTGAAGCCACCCTGCAAGTGCTCGGTTGAAGGGACCACCACCAGTATTCAACAGAGAAAATCCCAGTCATAACAACGGGCCCAGGAATCTTGATCCCGCACACCAGAAATAAAAGGTGAGACCTGGGGCCAAAAGGTTACAAGGTCGACTGGCAAGTGAGATATTGTATGGTGGTGTTACTAAAGGAGCCCCGCTACAATGGGACGCCGCCCTTCCAAAATTCGAAGCCTAGCCCGCTCTGAGCCGGAACCTGGAAAAGTACCCCAAATCTTTCGACTTTTGAACAAACACAAAAGCAAAGTGAAAGGCGTTCAATCAACTTTTCGGTCAACCCAACAACAAGGAGCAAAAAAAACCACGCAAAAACACCTCGCCCCACACCTTGGGGTCAGGTGAAAATCAACGGCGCCGAAGAAGCGCGTCTTTCTTTTTGCCCCGCGCCTCCAAATGCCCCTTGCTGGCGGCCGCATGCATCGGCCCGCCCCGCTTCCGTGCCACTTGGTCCTCACGGACGGGACGTGGTTGCGAGTCCAGAAATCGAGCTCCGGGACTGTGGATGCGAAACCCATTTCGCACCGGAAATGAAACCATGGTGGAACCAGGACGGTTTTTGTTGGCAGTTGCATGGGAATCGAATCATTCCAGGGTTTCAATAAGTGGTGCAGCATTTCGTTCCCGCCACAGTATGGAGTGGAATCCTTTGCAGGGGGCAGGTTGGGTTTGAGGGATTGCCTCCACGCGGGGATATGCAAAGCCCCTCGCCACAAGGATACGCCCTGTCTAAGCACTAAGACAAAACACCTTGAATCGGACATACATCTATGCACAAAAACTAGAGTACACATCTTTGCTTTCTGCACCCCTGCTAAAAGTTTAACTTTTAGTGGTTTAATGGAAAACCCATGAGTTGGCAAAAAGTTAAAGTCCTAACAGCCAACAAAGTTCAACGACATGCTCTAAGCAACTGACAAAACTTCTTGTCTCATCTCAGGCTTGGCAGCTCTCAGTTCGAAACCGACAGGGAACTCAGTTGAGTGGATTGGTGAGAGCAAGTTCTTGTTTGCCACTAACATGATCTTCCCAAAAAGTGACAGCCCAGGAACTTCGGAAAGTAAGGGAAGCATTTTGTTTCAACTCCTTCCATGAATTGCCAAAGCATCGAAGGACCCCAAAGCGAACCAACTGCACTGCGCGTGGATTGTTGGCTGGTCCAACGAGGCATTGGCCAGTCCCAACCAGTCAGGCCATCGGTTTGAGTTTTTCATATGTCCAAACCGCAAGGGTTCAAACAACCCTCTTGTTGCAAACAGGTTCAAGAAATGGCTTAAATCTTGTAAATGTTTGGTTCAACCAGGTTTAAACAGCTGGTCCAGTAGTTAGTTGTTTAAACATGTTTAAACAATCTCCTTGTATCTTCCTCTCCAACATCAATATAACTAACCAGTAACTTCCATTTCCTTTTTCGAGAACCAACCGCTTTGCAAGGACCCGGTCTGCAAATGGCTCAACCAAAGCCAAGCGAGCCGACGCGGTCCAGCTCCGCTCGGGCGAGGATAAGGGTCTCAAGCACCTCCGCGTGAGGCGAAACCCACAAGGTGAGGACTTTCTGGACCATGTTACCATGTGCTTCTTAGCGTCCAGGAAATGAGTCAAGGGCTAGCATAGGCATCATGACTTAATGCAATTTTAGAGTATCCAACCCCATTCCAAAAGATTGAGCTCCCATAGTACATTGAACCTAGCGGCGTGCTTTTTGTGTGGCTGGTGTTGTTGAAGCGGGACCCTGTCAAAATAAGACTGGGTTTGTTCGAAATGAGAGGATCCGCTAATCCAGAATCCGTAGTAAGACATTATTACAACCAGGAAACCATTCTGCAGAACTTGTTGTTGGAAACACGAGAACCTAGTAAAGGCCGTTCCTTGTTTGAGCTCGCTTTACATTTTACAACCCCCCGCCAGCTCGTGTTCATTTGCGCAAATCATAATTCGCCAGCCCAACAAAGTCGACTCGGGCAACTACAAAGTCCCTAAGCTTCCCTACCCCCTTCAATAAGAGACCTGCTTTTCGTGGCGTTCGTTGCTCAAAGCTTTTCCCATTCAATTTCTGTCGTTTCCAGCTGGGAGTAGAATCATGCGACCCCAAAACAAATATCCATGGCATTCGTCAGCTATCACGGGTAGTTCCGGTCGCACTTGAATTTGCCCAGAAACCTCCGGAATCCAAAAGGAAGCCAAGTCTCCGTATCCGTGGCAGCAAGTGCAGGCACCTGCTTTGTAACCCAGAAAATGGGTTTGTCTCCACGAGAAGCCGACTCAAATTGTGCTGTTCCCCTAAGCCAAGCGTAAAAAACCTACACCCTCAAAAACACACACACACACACACGCACATGGATGAGGCAGCCTTGTGTGTCGTGGCAAGAGGTTGTTGGTTGTTGTAGTCCTGATAAGTTGGGCAAGACCCGCAAACTGACCTTCATGGCCATCTGGCAGATTGCTGTACTTGGTTGACGTTGGGTTTGGGGAGCAAAAATTTAAATTGTTTTAGCAGTTAAGTGGATTTGGATTTCAACCACTAAACCACGATAAGCAAAAATGCAAAATGCGTCCCAACAACAAGCATGTGTAGTTCACAAGTTGGACATAAGGAATCCCTTTCCTTTCCTTTCCTTTCGGTGAGCCTTGTCCGTGCGATCAGCTGTGCTTAAAGGGGTTGAGGGGGGTATAGGTAAGATTAAAAAGCTCCCTTGTACCAATCTGTGCACATGTCCATCTGTGTAAGGACCTTCATCATGGGGCCCAAGTTGATTTCCCCCGATTCGCTACAACGTGCCCACATATTGACAGTTACCCAAAGGGCTTTCATCAGAGACCAGGGCGCGTCCGCGTAGTTCAAAGAAGCTGCCAGGAAGACCCCAGTGGCGCCATTCTCCTGCAACGAAATGGGACGACGGGACCTGGGCCTGTCTGAACCCGGATGCTTTGAATGCTTGAACTGGGGCTGTGAGGACTGACATGTTTTGGCCTGTTCGAAAGGTTTCGAATTTCCCCGGCGAAATGGCCTCTGTTTAGGAGTGAAATGGAAGCCAAAAGGGACTGAGAAGCAAATTCGGGGAACTCCCCTCCCCACATATGCCACCCAAAGACGTGGCAATCAAGCTTGATATGAACCGCTTGAAACATGTTCATGCTGAAGTCTATCTGGCAATTGAGGGAATCTCATCGACCGTCATGTCAAGTCAAAGCACGAAAGCTGCCTGGCTATTGCCCCCCCTCCAGTGCAAAACGTTTAACATGTTGGAAGGTAACTGGAAAGCCAAACCGTGACCCAAATCTGGGGTACACCGAAATCAGCGATGTTCTGACTATGCACAATAATCTTGTCTATCCTGATACATAAAAACTAAAGGTTTGGAGGAGACCCCAAACACAATCCGCCGCACAGCTCAAGCAGCCGGGGCTTCAGAGGTTTACTCCATGGTCTCTCGGGTGAGGCTAGAACACTGGTCCCTGAAAGGGGAAACCAAGGACCGTAGTTTCTGTTGAGGTTGCGTCATTGAAGGCTGAGTTTGGGGGGAGGTTGGGGGAAATGGGCTGTCCATTTTCAGATCTGCTGAAAGTGAACCACTTTTTGCGGGTTGAATGGGTTGAACCACACCACAAAAAGCCGAAGCACCTACCCTCCCTCCAACAATCATGGAAGCTGACAGGAGGGTTTTGGAAGACTATTTTCCTTTTGGGCAACCCCTTTGTCCACTTCCATGATTGTTGGAAAGAGGGTAAGGAGCCGGGCTGCTGGGAACCGAGGACACAGCTCGGGACGTTTGCCTCTCCTTCGCTTCGTTCGTGTCCGCTTTCGCCTAGCGGAGAGGCTGCTCGGTGACAGGTCCACACATGGCCACAACACTTGTACCAACCCAGATGAATCAACCTGGTGGCGCTTACCACGAACCCCTACATGCTTCATGGCTTAAAAAATCAAACATGGCATTGCACTGACCCCTCCCAAGGGGATGGTCCCCAACATGGGCTGCGGAGGGTTCAAACACTGAATATGGCTTTTATTTGACCCCAAACAATGCTCTTTCTAATCTCACGCCTTCCCGTGGATTCTGCCAAATACACGAAAATCAACCCCAAATACGGCCATGCCCAAATGCCCTTAAAGTCCCTTTCAATCTGGAGGAACCATGCGTAGGAGGGGTTTGGATTCCATGAACATATTGAGGTACTGTCAACCATACTAGTTTCCCGTAAAGAACATGTCCCCCTGGTTTTTGTGGATATTTGTTTCAAAACTCCATGTCCCTCCCAAATGAATCATAGGCAGATCCAAGCATTTTGACCAAACCTATGTTGGAACCACCAGGTCACCAACCGGATCGTCTCTACATGAGGACAACCAACCCAAAACTTGCGGTGTTCCTTTGAAGGTCGCTCTACGCTCAAAACAAGAGACACACCGCCCAAAGGCGGTTCTGGCTGCTCGCTCGACGCCTCCAGCAGGAACTTCACTACCTCCAGCTGGTTCTGGCTGACAGCGCTGAGCAAAGGCGTCCAGCCCTCCTGAGATGTTTCGAACGGAGAGGTTTTGGGCTTCCCGATTGCCAGGTGCTTACAAGACTCCGATCGGGAGCTCCTGAAACGCTCCCTCTACAAAAGAAAATTTGGATACCCCCGGCTCCTTGGCTCCCTTCCAACCACCAGCTAGTGATTGATCTCCATGGCTGGGGTTGGGGCCCGATTGATTCTTAACATCACCTGCTGGTGCCTGTTAGACTAATGCTTATTTGAGTTTCCCTGAAGGGGATGATTGAAGGGGGTATTTGGTTTGAGGCTCTACTACAATCATGAACGTTAGCTTGAAAGTACCCCGCAACCCCAATGTAGTTTTGCTAAGGTCTGTACATGGGTTCATATCAAAATCGGGATTGTACCCCAAACATGAAAATTTTGGTTTGGCTTCAGACCAACCTCAAAGAGGTCACCGTCCCCGTTGTCCGATCCGAAGGACTCATGCTGTTCATGGCTCTCTGAATTAAAGCAACCAAACGATAAACATAAAATACGGAGCGGGGGGGGGGGGACGTAAAACTACAAACACATCGTTAACGCTATACACATAGAACAGGAAGAGCAAACACAAACCAAACGCCGGAGCAACAACTCACAACAAACAAAAACGCGAAGACACAAAGAGCAACACGGGTATGTGTCAAAATACGGACCCAGAAAAAACGATAAACAAAAAAAGAAAAAAAAGAAGAAGTGGTTTTCCTGTCTCCCTTCTAACCCAACTGCAACGGCTACCTACACGTCACACACATACATGGAAAACCAAACATCAACATCAACACGAAGCACTCGTCTCCAGCGGTCCGAGCCACCTGCTTCCTTGCCTGGCAGTTCGCTCTGGCCTTCGGCGGAATCGGTCTGGGATGGTCTAGGGTCTGCCTGGTCTCGGTTTTGGATTCCTGACACTGCAAAAAAACCTCTGAGAGCCCTGGAATCCCATTTTTTGCATTCCTAACTCAATGACTAAGAAAGAACCTCTGGGAACCCGGAAATCCCATGAAAATTCCCTGTGACCGAAAGCCCATGATTTGTTGCAGGCTGTGCTGGACAGTCCTGACAGGAATTGCACCGTGTGAGTACATGGCACAAATTCCTTTTGTTATGTTGGCAAGAGGGTGTTGAAGCCAAATGGGTCTGTCAATGTTGTGGGGGAACCCCGGTTTTGGGGACAACCAGCTTCTTTATTTGGGGGAGTCCCCTACAAAACAAAACGATACACCCACATGAGAACTGCACCATAGTCGTCTAAAGCATCCCGGATCCTCGTAAGACTACCTGTTCGAGAGAACAAACAACTAACAAAAGACGAGCCACCCAAGTGTAATTATATGTAATCATCGTCATGCCACAGTCAACCCACAGGATTGGGGCCAAGGGACCAATCACCCCCCTGGTTAATGGGATGTCCCCTTAAGTGGGGATTCCCATTTGGAGGGAACATCCGAATAGGACGAGTTTATCAATCCTGCGTCAAGATGAGTTTGGTTTGTTGCATACTCTTCACATCCCTGTAGGTTGTTTGCTTGCCAAACCACTTTTTGAGCATGTTGAGGAGGATCCGCGAAGCTGAATGTGACTTGGTTTGAACAAGCCTCAGGTTTCCTCCAGGGCGGTTCCCTAGACCTGTTTAGAGGCTTCAGAGGCTTCCTTTGGGCTTCTCTTGGCCCGCATCTGAACATCATCTTCTGCGTCCTATTCAGCCTACTGCAACATGTTTGTTAAAGGAAAACACAGCATGATTAGAGTTAGGCCCAGCTCTAGAATGTATACTTCAGTGTTTGCTTCACTTCGAGTCACTGGTAAAATGTAACATGTGTCCTAAGCGAACCCCAGAAAAGCTTTGGAGGAGAGTCCAGTTTTCGCCTTGTTCTAAGGGTTGATTCCCCATTCTTTCGTCACACGTGCACTCAGTGCAACGATCGGTCTTTCCAGCCGGTTTCGGCTCAGTTTTTTTTTGCAGCGAGCACCGAGCCATGCCGAAAGTTGTCCCGCGGGCTAGGGGTAGGGGCAATAGACTAGACGACCCTTCCCCTGACCTGCCAGAGTCATGCCACTGCAGGCCATCGTTTTTACTGGCAGAGTTTGTTCTTCAGGGACATCGTTCTTTACCTACAACAATCGTTCTTTCCCCAGGGCCATCGTTCTTTCCCCACAACCATCATTATTTCCCTTGTTTCCCCAACCCGTCATTCTGTCCCCCAGCATCGTTCTTTCGATCAGAGATCAGTGCGTCCTCGTTTTTGTTTTTTGGCGTTTGCATCTGTTTTGGGTGAAAATTGGAAAACCAGAAAGAATGGGGAAGCATTGTATGAAGCTATATGTTCGGTTAAAACCCATTCTTGCCAAGCATCCAATTTTCTAGGATTTCCGGTCTGTCCTCCCGAAAGTGATGACAGCTGCTGCGTGGGTCTCCATTGAAAGAATGAAGAAGTGGAAAATTGGGAGCTTGTGGAAAATTGGATCGCGGGCACGACTTTGGTGGGTTGGCTGATGAGGGGCCCGCGGGGCCATGAGGAGGAGGCTTCAATGCCTGCTGTGAAGCCACAGGCTTTGTGTTTGTCAGGGTCGCCTTGGCAATGATTCATGACATGGATGTGGGCAAAACAACAAGAGCAAGGCTGACCGGTCCTGTTGGGAGAGGCTTGGTGGGCTGCTGGGAGTGGGCAAAGGGAGAGAATGGAAACAGTTGAGTTGTAGCCTTGCTTGGGTGGACTGCGTCGATGGCAATTGCATCCATTTTGGGGGAGAATTGGGATAGCTCTTCAGAATTTCCAGGTGTGGCTTAGACTTGTCTCAACCAGTCAGGCAGTGAACCAAGCCGAGGCCCCGTCTCAGACGCGCCCCGCGCCTGCACCAAGGCCCTCAGCACCGGCAGCTGCCCCGCCAGGGCGGCCACGTGCAGCGGCGTGGCGCCCAGCAACGTGGGCGACTCCAGGTCCGCCTGCTGGCTGGGCACCGCCGGCCAGCCAGCGCGAAAGCCAGGAAGCAAGCAAAAAAAAGAGAAAAAGACACGCGGAAAAAGTCCGAAGAGAAAAACTGATAAACCACCTGGAGTTTGCAGTTGTTTGGATTGCGTGGTTTGAAACCGCTGGTCAGCATCATATACAAAAAATATGATAAATCAATTTTTCAGGCAAATGCAACGACAAACAATATGATAATCGATGTATCAGTGAAGCGTGGTCCCTGGTGGATCTTAGTAGCCTGTTGGCGGCTGCTCCCGCTTTCAACCCGACAAACCACTCAGTGGTTTGGATTAAACCCCTGGATCTTGAGGGTAAATGGAACACGTCCTAACCTCGTGCCAAAATGAAGGGCGGCCACAGGAAAAGCAAGAACGCCGTTTTGAGCAGTTGCGTCTGAAGCGAACAACTCCAACAAAAAGGCAATCGGGGGCTTTAAAGGGAAACCAAACGGGAGATTGTGGAAAAGAAACACCAGTTGAAATCCTGCGCGTGAGCAAGAGCATTGTCCCTTAGCGGGTTGGTACTGGACACCCTCTTGAGAACATAGCGGCAGGTTTGCTTTTGTTTGCTGGAAGTCAAAGACAAACCTGCCAAACACAATGTTCGGTCCAATAAAACACTACCAATCTCCTTGTTGGACTGGCAGTGAGTTGAGTTTGAAAAGACACCCTCGACAAAAAGCAGATGCACCATTGCAGGGCTGCTTGACACAAGGTCCACTATTCGAGAAAACTCATGGCTTCCCAGTTGCAATCAGTGTTCCTGCCTCGAAAAGGACACTGGGACGCCTTGTTGGGGCCGGGACCGATTTTGGGGAACAAATAAAAGGCAACAACTGGGTCAAGCAAAAAGTATATGTGTTGGCATGCATGCTCAAGCGAAGCAAGCAAGCAGGCAAGCAAGCAAGAAAGCAACAAACCAAAACAACCCCCCCCCCCCCAATCACACCAGGTCCGCCAAGCGAAACACACCAGCTCAACGCTGCGAGTGTCGGGCGCCTTCTCCTTCAGGAGGGCCCTTAAGACGTTGAGGGACCCGCGGTGGGCGGCCAAATGCACCGGCAGCCATCCGTGAGAGTCCCTCGCCTCCTGGACGCAACATGGGAAGAGGTGGTCGCCATTCCCTGCTCATTGGGTTGAAGAAAAGCCGTTATAAGCCCAGGCGTCCTTGGGGAAAAACAAACAAACAAACACCATCTCTGAACCAAACTAAAGGTACTCTTTTGGCCGGTGTTTGAGAAACAAGCCAACAACATGTTTGACAAAATGGGTCAGTGGGCTCGCTTTGGCTTCATCCTAATCAGGTGCCCTCAGCAGGACTCCTCGCTGCCCAAGGCTTTGGCACCTCTTAGGTAGCTGTTGCGTGTGTCTTGCATCAACATGAGTGCGAAAACGGCTCGAGGCCAACGCTACAAAATACAGAAAGAGATGCTTTCTGTGAACGTAGCTTCCAGCGGTCATAGCAAGGGGGCCCAATACGATATTACTTGCTTGACGTTGGAAGGGGAGCAAAAAAATGTATTTTAGCAGTTAAGTGGGGATTTCAACCACTAAACCACAACAGCAAAAATGCAAAATGTTTCCCAACAACAACCATGATTAGTGACTGCTGGAGTCCATTAAGGACTCTTGCCATGGCACTAAATCGGAGATGGGCTTGGTTAACCGCCAGCTCCTTGTCATCTCCTGCTTGCAGCAGCAGCCGAAGCGCCTGACACGAAGGGTTCCGGATGAAATTTGTCTCCTCTTTGCCGTGCCACTGACCAACAAAAATAGAAACACTAAGCCGTGACTCTTTCCACTTGGATGCAAGAGGGCGAGAGAGAGAGAGAGAGAAAAAGAGAGAGAGAGAGAGAGAGTGAGAAAGTGAGAAAGAGAGAAAGAGAGAAAGAGAGAAAGAGAGAGAGAGAAAAGCTGCAAAGATACGTTACTTGCTGGTTCTTAGCAGGGAATGAGGCAATGACCCTAAACAACTTCCTATGGCTTCCTTTAATGGAATCCCAAAACGGTTCCTTCCCAAAATCCGGGCTCGTTGTCCTTCCCTACCTATCGCACCAGCAAGCTTGAAGCTTGTGGAGGTTGCGCCGACGGCATGGGTGCAGCGCCGCTTCTGAGAGAGGCGTCACCCCGAATGGTGCGGCTTGCTGTACTGGGCACTCCCTCTTGGTTGGTTTTGTTGGGAAGAATATGGCCATGTGTCAAAATCCAAATCGTACCCCCAGTGAACATCCCAATCCAACCACTAAAGGTTCAAAAATGGGTGGTGAGTTCACCTATCCCAAAATGGGATCCCAAAACAGTTTTGAAACCCATGGCCATATGGGGGCCTCCACCCCTTAGTTGGTGGTTTGGATGGGTGGTTTGGATGGGTGGGACCTTGGTGTTATTCAGGGCGTGCTTCTATCCTTAAAGCACCCCTTGCCTGCAAACGATGGCCTCGGTTTGCTTAAGCCCCTCAAACAAAAATGCATTTCCAATAGTGACAAACTCCCGTAAAAACTAACAGGAAAAAAGAACAACTATTCTCGAGCAAATGGAAGACGGAAGTGTAAAAAGGAGACCACCCCCTTTCTGGACGTGGACGCCCCATCCCTCTAACTTGGAGGAGACCTCAGGGGATGCAGCAAAGCCTGGCCAAGTCTCTCACGCAAAGTGTCGACCCGGAGAGAAAGCAACAATAAGCTTTAGCCGGTGATTTGATCCCTCAGTTGTTCAGTGACCCTGGAAAAAAAGTGAACCCTTTTTCGGGAAGACCATTTTGGGTGGGGCAGCCACCAAAGAAAAGGGGAAAAAGGGTGCACTGAACAACTGAGATCCAGATCCAGCTGCAACCTCAGTGTTTGCGCCCCAGTGCAAAATGAAACCTTTGATTCTGGTCCATATTTGGGGAACAAAAGAGAACACAATAAAGCGGAAAGGGATCCCGGACATGGTTCGCGCCTGTCTGCCCCCTCCCCCCCCCAAGAGAGCCACATTTGCTCATTCACCTGCACCCAGCAACACATGCAAGCCAAGAATCATGGACTTGCCTTAGATTGCAGATACGACACATCTCTTCTGCAAACGTCATGCCAATATTTCAATGCCAAAAGAAGCGAAGAAGCCGGTTTTTTCTCAGTAACAATCTGTCAATATGCTCAATGTGCTTTGGCTTGGTTGCTGTTGACCCCCTGCAAAAAGTGTTAAACGTTTTGGGGGTTTAGTAAGTTTAGTGGAAAACCCCTTGATTTCAAGCATAAAGCCTAAACTCTGAAGATCCAACCCAATAGCAGTCAAGTAATATAGCCATTGCAACTGGGGTAATCCCGTCCCCCCAAAGAATAAACGGTCCTCCTTCCCCCCCCTCACAAAAAAATGAATATATATATATATATATAAAAACTCGGAAGGCGTTGCGCTCTGGGATGGCACCTGGACGTTGTCCATGTTCACTGCTAGCCGTAGAGGCGACACGCCCTCGACTTCGTCGAGCTGAGCGCGGGCCTTGGGCGCAAAGCCTTCTGGCCCAGTCCGTTACTCCCCAACACTCCAGGGGTACCTGCCATGTCCATTCTTTCCAGGGATCCTTCTTTCCGAAAAAAAACCTCTGGAAACCCGGAAAAAAAGGTGTTTTTTTGTTGAAAAGATCATGGGGAATTCAGCCCCTAGAAAAACACGACCATTGGCCAGAAAAGTCGGGCAGCTAAAAAAACAAGTGGCCCGCAGCGGGGGTGGAAAACAGTGTTTTGGAAATTCTGGTTCATAAGTTTACCCTGAAACATGCGGAGGAGACCCCAAACCAAAAGGAAACTCGCTTCAAATTGGTCCAACAAGTTTCCTCAAACAACGTCTGTTGCTTCTGTCGGAAGGGCCCCTATACAGCTCCTATCTGAAGACTGGTCGGCAAGTGAAACAGTTTCGACTGGCGTGCAAGCATTTATGTGCTGTGTAGGATAGCATGTGTCATGTTCCCTTTCTGCAAGAGGCAATGCCAACTTGAAATCTCATGGAATCATGGAAGCTGACAGAAGGACTTTGGAAGGCGACTGTCCTTTTGGGTCCCGAAGGCCCCTGTCCACTTCCTTGCTTTTGGGAAAAGGGCACTAGCATCATCTCACTTACCCAAGGAGAGAATTCAAAGGTCATGTCTCTGGGGCCATGACCAAAAGTGGACCATCGGAAAACCACAAGGTCAAAAGGTCGATTCGCTTTGGACACGTGAGTCACTCTGTCGAACACCTCTGCCATTTACTTCCGTTTTTTTGAGCTTTCTCAAAATGGACTCTTGGGTGGTTTGAAAAGGACGCCATTTTGGGGTGGATTAAACATGGACCTTTTTTTGGTGGGTTGCCCAACTTTGAAAAACCCCCAAATCATCTGTTAAATGGAGCCTTGGCTTGGCCAGTGCTAAACCCACCACAAGGGGAACCCGAAGTCCTAAACCCACCGGACAGACTCAGGATTTAGCCCAAACTGACACGGATGCCACGTAATTCCCATGCTTGTAACCTTGTAACCTCCTCTTCTTGAATCTGGTGCCGCCACACATCATATCTGGCCCCAACTGACATGGATGCTATGCCATCCATGTTTTTGTAAACTCCTTTTAAGCCTTCTTGTTTTTTTTGGGTACAGCCACAGGTCATATTTTCTTGAACCTGGGGTACACCACACATCATATGTCCTGGCTCGGTTTCAAAAAACGGACTCTGCAGAACCCGACGCCGCGCCTCCAACAAGACCTGCAGCGTATCCAGGTGTGCCATCTCCACCGCCCCGAGCAACGGCGTCCTCGAAACGAAAATGCTCTGAAGTTCCGAGCCGCGAGGAGCTGTTGTATCAAAACCCGGTGATGGATCCCTTTAAAACCAACAAGGATAAATTCTAGGGGTCGATTTCTTGTCCATTCTTTTTCAGCCGTCGTTCCTTTCAAAAAACAGCCGTTTGCCCAGGGGTTTTGGTGGCTTTCTAGAAAGAAGGATCCCTGGAAAGAACGGGGAAGTTACCCCTAGAAGAGTAATAAAGAAACACACATTCTTAAGCAAATGGAAGCAAATACATCAGTTGATTAGATCCTTAAACCAACAAGAGAAACTAATCAAAATAAGTTTAGAAGGAACTTCTTTGGGTACGCCAACAAATAAAGCAACACATGTTCTTGAGCAAATGGAAGCAACGAAATCCGTTGATGGCCTTTCTTGGTGGGTCTCTTGCCTTGTTGGAAGGAGAAATTGAAGGTAACCGTCTAGATTAGCCCCCAAGGTGATGAGCCGCGTCACGAGAGGATCAAGCAGTTCAAATTTTCCGTAGTCTATTTTAGTAGGGGAACCCTCTCCGCTAAAAAAAAGGTAAAAGGGCACTACTGGCAGACCTAGTCAAGTATCTCATTGTTGATCGGGGAAGAAATCTGTAGGTACATGAAGTCTTCGGGATGTTGAGACCCTGCAGCTTGGTGCAGGCTCTTATCCAAACCTTATCCAAGGGACACCTCTGCCAGTTGGGGTGTTGGATATGGGTGCTTGCGTAAGACGCCGGGCTAAACAGTGGCCTAGTGACTAATAGCTTACTCGTATTATCATAACACAAACTAGTTTTTGAGTATCCCGCAACCCCTTCAACAACAACTATTTAGGCCCTGGTATTACATTCCTGGAAGCTTGGGTCTCTCTCTCTCTCTCTCTACAAACCCAGCATGTACACTCTTACGGCGGGAGTAAAAGCATAGCCCTAGTGATGGACTAGACTTGAGATGCCTCCCTTGTTGTGGGATGCTGTTGCATGGGCAACCCAAAAACCACTTCACTGTTTAGGAAGCTTCCATTTTTCTGGAAACACTTGCGTTGCTAAAACATTTAGGAGCTGCTTCTCCAATGGTTGACTGCCACTCAACAAAAACAACACACTCCGCTGTAACTTGATGTGGAACCCCAAAGGGATTGCCTGAAAGGAAAAGATTCCTCAAATATCGGCTTCTTGTGTTCCATGTTGACTTGCAGGGGAGTAACGCGTATCAGGCCAAAAGTTCGCTTTCGGCGGAGCTCCAGGAAAGGCCTTTCCAACAACCAAACTGTAGCTGGGCCTGTTTTTTCCAACGATGGACACGCTGGCTCACGAGTCGTGATTGTTCTCCTTGTGCCTCCTTTCGCTGCTAAATTCAGTCTGTCTGGGTACACCATAAGAGATCCGTCAAAGTCAAGGTCTTGCTGAAAAGGGTGAGGTCGCAAACTCTCTCCCGAAGTCGCTTCCATATTGAGTCTCCTCGGTGTTTTCTCAAATATGTTCGTAGCTTCAAGAACGAACGATTATGCTCAGGGCAATCACTTTCTTGATTGGTTCAAAATGTATGATTATTCTAAATGAAACATCCTTTAGTATTGATAGCTAAGCTGGCACAGGTGTGGCTGTCTGGCCCAAATTGCTTTTCCGTGTGTGTGTGTGTGGGAAAAAAGGTTGGCTTTTTTACCAAGAGGACTCCAGAATCCCTTTTCGAACGCCATTCATTTGGTCCAATTCCAAATCCCTAGGGCATGTAGCTTTTGGACGCCCTCTCTCGCAGAAGTCCCAGGCTTCTCAATACAATCTAAACAAGTTTGGATTTGGAGGGAGTAAAGTCAGATTGACGTCCCAGGCTTCTCAAACAAGCTAAAATTTGGATTTGAATTTGGAGTATAAGAGCTCCAACAACTGTCTCCTCCAAAGCCCTAAAACAAAACCAAGAGTCTTCCATTTGGTTAAGACCCCAGGAAAAAATGAAAAAAAAACATGTCCAGTAGTGATAGATTCCTTTTAAAACCAACAAGGGAAAATCAAAAAACATATTCTTAAGAAAATGGAAGGTGTAGCTTGTTTTGGGCGCACAGGCCAGTGGTTTCGCCTACCTTCCGGCAAAGCGTCCATTGGCCAAAGCCGTCCGTGGAGGCGCTATGGCTCAGCAGGCTCTTCACGATGGCGGTGTGGCCTTTGTAAGAAGCTATGTACCTCAGCTATCGTGCCCTTGAAAACAAACAAAACACCACAAAAACGGTAGCAGCTGTAAGTTGGCCTTGGCAAAGTGACAAGTTGGTTTGGCCAATCCTGCTTACCCCATGTGGTGCATGGGGTTTATAACTGCCATTTGCTTGTTCGCCCCCTGGAAAATAAAAGAAAACATATGTCCAGGAGTGATAAATCCCCTTTAAAACCAACAGGGAGAAAATAATAATAATACTAAAAATAATAACAATAACTATAATCATAACACACAAACAACTTAAGCAAATGGAAGGCTAAGGTCAGTGAGTAGCAAAAGTGCCCTATAGAAAAGTGCACACCCAACAGAAACTTGGAGATCCCTTCCAAAGAAACCCCGGAAAGGGTGGATGCCCCAATATTGCAAGTAAATCCAGCAAAAGGATTTAAGATTCACAGAGTTCCCCTTGTTTGCTACTTGCAATACTTGGATGTCTCTTGAGGATGGACAACCTTGTGGTTTCCTTAAAACCAGCCAAAAGAGGATTCCCCCCCCAACAAAGAGACACCCCCCACAAGGTCTGATGGGAACCCCATTTTGGAATCCCTCAGGTTGCTTTCCACTAAAGCTGAACAACCCAGCTGCCTGGCCATTTCTTTTGGGGCGGACCCCCAAAAATCGACACCCCCAGAAGGTCGTGCTTCCTGGCCAGGTCTTTTGGGGCGGACCCCAAAGGAAAATCGACACCCCCAGAATTTTCGTGCTTGTCTGACCGTTTCGTTTGGGGTGGGGGTTCTCCCAACAAAGCGACAGACCCACTTTGACCACCGCATGCTGCATGAAAGCCCAGCCGCAGCGGAGTCCCCGCGTTCTTGCAGCTCGCCCGCTGATCTTTGTCAGCGCCTGCGGCCAGCAAGTACCTCACAGCCCGGCATGATGTGAACCCCATATGAATCAACCCCAGTTTGCCAATAGGGGGGTGCTTTTCCCTGGGTTTAGTGGGGGTTTCTCACTATTGGAGGACAAAACACCCCCTATCAATAAACTGGGGGTGATTCATATGGGGTGAACGCTAGCCTTTGACGTTTGACCCTGAGATACGGTCAACTTCGGAGCTAGGTTTTGGTTTGTTCATGACTTTCGTCAAGGGCGAAGTTCTGCTACAGAGCTGGCCTTTAAGCCAGTAGCAAGGGGCCGAACTCCAAGAAGCTTAAACTCATCACCTCCATGTTACCCTCTTTGCCACTAAGACGGCATCTGACAGGGGGTCTGATCTTCCAGGTACCCTCAGGTACCTTAGTGGGAGGAAGGGTACCAACGCCCAAAGAAGCGGCAGGTCGACAGATCCGCGCCGTGGGAAGGTGACGACCCAAATGACATGGTCCGCAAGCCTTTCAGAAGAGCCATGCACCATCCCCAAAAGTCGCCCGTAAAGGAAGCCCAAAGAAAGCTGGTATCAGTGCAAAAGGGCGGGCTTGTGTTCGCTGGGTGAGAGCTTGCAAGTCCAAGCTCCTGACAGAAGAACAAGTGAACAAAGGGGAACTTGGAAAACCTAGGAACCAAATTAACCAAATCGGGTCTTTCGTCCATCATTTTCGCAAAGGGCAACGAGAAGTTCCAAATCGGTCCTTTTGTCCATCATTTTCGCAAAGGGCAACGAGAAGTTACCAAACATCAAGTAACTAAAGGTAACACTCATCAAGGAGATGTCGTTCCTATTGATTCCCCAAAGCCTTTGTCGATGCCTCAGAAGCAGCAAGCAAAGATCCTCCGCTGGCTAGGCGCTTCACGACCTCCAAATGGTTCAGCGCTGCCGCCGCAAAGAGTGGCGAGCACCCTGCCGGCAGCGGCACACTCGGGCCGGTTGCCTCGGTGACGGTTCCAAAGACAGACTGGATCAGTCATTGTTGGATTCAACATTGCTTACATAATATGGGTGTGGGTCAAAAATAGAGAAACCCCAAAATGGCATGCCGTGCTAATTGGAGACAAAGACTAAAACCGGTCCCCCGGTGGTTTAATTTTGACCCATACCCATATGTGCAATGGCGAAACACGGGTCTGACAACACGGTGACACAGGTGTTTGGAAGACCGGTTCTTGCTGAATTAGAAGCCTGCTGCAGTTTTGACGGCAAAAAGCATCGAGGCTTTGAAGAATTTGAAGCCGCATCTTGCAGTTGAATGCTCATGTTAGCCATTCAGATCTATGGCTAGCTCGGGCTATGTGGGATTCACGGCGAATTGGCGCAACACATCGCTGGATTTTCCCGAGACCTGGCATTGGTTTGGTTTCCCTGTAGCCGAAAGCAAATCAACAAAGGGGTGCGGAATCCAGGCGAGTCAGAATAATTGTGCCATTGCAACTTCTTTCCACAGAACTGGGGTGGTCTCAACCCTGCAAAAAGGTCTAGCTTTTGGGCTGGTTTGGGAAGCCGTGGTCTAAAAGGCAAAAAGGTCGAAAGTCCTTCGTGCGAGAAACCTATCCCTGTCGAATCTCATGGAATCTGAGTCATCTGAGGCAAGGGATAATAAAGGGAAGTCCAAGTCCAATTGTCCAAATCCCCTTTATAAAGGGTACCCTTATAAATCCAAATCCCTTATAATAAAGGACATAAAGGGTACCCTGTTTCAAAGGGAAAATCAAGAACCTCCAGGAGATTCAAATCCAATTCTGGCTAAAGTCCGAAACGGAACTCTGGCAGTGAGCCAAGTTGTGGCTCCGGGCTCCGTCATGATAGCTCCATCCTACAAACATCACCAAGGGAAATCCACCTTTAAAAGGACCAAACACACATTACCAATAATAATAATAATACTAATAATAATAATAAACAAGGGACATTAAAAAAAGGAATCAACCCCTGTATCTGCCGTGGCTTCTTCGCCCCAGAGCGCGCGCATGCATGCGCAAAGGCGCATGCGCGGTCCGGTCGCGCGCGCGCGCGCGCGCCTCGCGGAGCTCGGTGCGGCCCGCCGGGCGCCGCGGCAGCTTCCGCGCGTTCAGGTCCGCCCGGGCTTCCGCCAGCGCGTGCAAGGACTGCAGCCGGCCCTCCTGGCAGCCATCTGCGTGTCTGCCTGTGGGGGTGGCTTGTTTGTGTTTATTTTTGGGGGTCGGGGGTTGGAGGAATTGTTTGTCTTTTTTGGGGGTGTGGCAGGGTGGAGGCATTGGTGGGTGACCCTGGCAGAAAAAGATTTGGTCCCACTTTTTGGTCCGGAAGCTCTCAAACAAAAAGGGATTCAGAGGGTGAAATACAACCATTCCAAAGGATTCAACTGTCTTGTTCCGACCAAAGGACTGCTCTTCGACCACGCGTTTTCCCCTGATATGGCCCAACTGGTTCGACCGACGAAATCCATTGACGTCGAGTCGCTTTGACAACAACAGAAACCGCATGGGTTGAATCACCTCCGAACCAGAAAAACAAGTCTGTAGGTTCTCAAACCGCACCCATTCGGAATTCGACCGCAAAGAACCCGCCCCATCTCGACACGCCTTCAGGGTTGTGGCATTCAGAAGTCGATTCCCACTTCTGTGATGCCACGAAACCTCCTTTGAGTGAAGAAGTCATTGGGATGCAGTTCTTCCAAGATTTCAGAATAATAAGGTACAATTAACAAGAGGTTCTCACAACCTGCCAGTAGAGTTCCCACATAGGACCTCCCTGTTGTGTTCACCTTCCATTACACAACTGGTTGCAGTTAGCTCTGTCTTTTTTTGAGGGTCCCCGTTTTAGTCAGGTTTGGTTTGAAGGGAAACCACAAACTGCAAGAATGGAGAGGGCCCGAATCCTAACAAAGACAGCCCCACTTCCCCTTCGGCTTCATAGGGGACCCCTTTCAGCCTGTTTTAGAGGATTTTTGGGGCTCAGAATCCTAAAAGCACAGACAAACCCAGCTCTGCTATGTCCCTAACCAGAACTCCTAGTAGCTCCCGAAGGCTCCCTCTTAGGCAACTTTGGATACCCCAGCTGTGCAACGGCTCCTTAGCTAGACTTCACCTTCCTTGCTGGTGCTCAGTATTGGGAATGAGCCTGGGGATTCCCTTAAAGGAAACCAAGGAGCCTAGGGATTCGCTTGAAGGAAACCATAGGGAATGGCTTAAATGGTGGTCATTCCAACTCATCCCCTTGTCGAACCAGGAAGCCAACCACCAGCTTCACAAGTCCCTCTGCAGCTTCACAGGGGTAACCAGGAAAACCTTTGCGCCATTTTTGAGGCGCCCCTTTTTTCCTAAAAGAACACACACGCCCATACGCATTTGCTGCAAGGATCCACGAGTTAAAGGTGAACCTTCGGGTTCCATGACAAAATATGGGTGCCAAAGCAAAAAGCGAGCGGTGAAAAAGACGATTCGCTTTGGTTCCAGTGATTCCAAGCAGTTGGAAACCAAGGCATACCATCCGTGTAAAACCAAAAGGAAAACCATCATTGTTCCAGTAATTAGAACAAACATGTTTCCGCTTAAAAACCATCAACTCGAAAAATGTGACACCTGTTTTCTTTCAGCAAAAGTTTCGCCTAGTGAAATCGATTCCCCCTTTCCAAAACCAAGTCGCGTAGTGATATCGACTCCCCTTTTCCAAAACCACCAATGGAAAGAAAATACACAACATATGTCCTGAAACGCAAACCATGTTTCCCCTGGTGAAATCGATTCCCCTTTTCAAAACCAAGGAAACAACTAACAAACATGTTCTGAAACGCAACCGAGTCGCAATCAAAACCTGGCACAAAAATTGTCGACCCAGAACCATGTAAAGAATTAAGAAGGCGGCCGCAGCTATTTATGGCTAGGATCATCCCTTGCTAACCTTCATCTACCCAGGCTTTGATTGTGGCTCAACTGGAAGCAGCTCCAAACTCCCCCCCCCTTCCCGCTTTGTCCGCTCGCTCGGATCCCCGATCCCCAGATCCCCGGATCCCTGGAGGTCGGAAGCGGATTCCCTCCATTGGCTTGAGTCCCCTGGAAACACTAAAAAATAATTCCAGTAGTGATAGATTCCCTTTAAAGCCAGCAGAGAAAACCAAAAACATATTCTTCACCAAATGGAAGCCTCAGGTTCCAACAATTCCTGGGCCTTCCTTTCCAACCACATCCTAGCGCCCTAGGGCCTTGCATCACCAGAACGGGTGCCAAAGGCGAAACCTTCCTCAAACAAAAGCTGATAGATTCCCTTTCACACCAGCAGGGGAAACTATCACCATGGAAGCTCTGCGCGCACATGAATGGGTCCGAGGCAAAAAGGTTGCTGGCAGGCAGCTCTGGCAATCGACGCGTTTTTGAAGTGAAGTGGAAGATATGTCTTAACCATTTCTGTGTTTTCTTTTTTTTTTTATCCAGCAACAAACTATTATTCACCCAATGGAAGAAGCTCCTGGGCGGCGATGAAGAGCACCGTGGCGCCCTCCGCGGTGCGGCGCTCCACCTCCGCCGCGGCGCCCAGCAGCCGCCGCAGCACCTGAGGCGCAGGCGACGTGGAGACGGCGTGCGTCGTGCTTTCGCGTCCTCCGTCGTGGTTTTAGCGGGGGGGTGGGGTTCAAGACTCCCTGCGTTGCTTTTGAAAGACAGCCATTGTTCACGACGAGGTCCTCCAGATTTGAGAGCTTAGAATATGGGTGCCCAATGTTCTTTGTCTATAGTGGATTTTAGTGGGGGAACCCTCCCCCGAAAAAGGGTAAAGGGATACTACTGGGGGACCTAGTTAGGGACCCCCCCCACACAAAATAAAATAAAACAGGAACAAGTGTCCAAGTTTCCCTTTGGTTTTCTGTGGCAGAACAGGGAGCATCAGCAGGAGTTGATGAAAAAGGTGTATATGAACTCAGAGGTTACACTATTGTTCATCTCTTGGCAATTTGGCAATGGTAGCCCATCAAGAACGGGAGTATACCTGTTGCATAGTGAATATTGTAGTGGAGACAGGGAAAACAGGATGATGCTGTTTTTTTGAGGGTACCCTTTGGTGTTGTTAAAGGAAACCCAACAGGAAAATCACAATCAGGCGGGCCCCCCTAAGAAAAAGCACCCCGATTTTCAGACTCTCGTTTGATGTTTCGACAACCCCACACATCTAAACTCAGATTGGACGATGCCGCAGGGGTCTGTTCGCCAACTTTTTGGGGAAAATTGGCGACTTTCTTCAAAAGGAATCCTTCACTACCAGGGGGTCGATCAATTTTCCCCTAAAAGCTGGCCAAAAGACCCCCCCCCCAGGTGTCGATCAAAAAACTTGGTTGCTGTTGACCCCCCTGCAAAAAGTTTAACTTTTTGGGGGTTTAGTGGAACCCCCTTGATTGCAAGCAAAAAGTTAAAGTCTAAAGATCCAACCCAATAGCAGTCAAGAAAATAAAACCCGCCTCGAGCAGCCCGAACTCGGCCGCGTGGTGCAGCGGGGTATAGCCCTCCCCCAGCGCGTGGTTCACCTCCGCGCCGTTCTCCAGCAGCCTCGGGCAGGCGTCCAACGCCCAATCCGTCGGGAGCCTCCGTCAAAATCCCGTCCCGGTGGGCCCGACTCGTCGCATCCGAGGGAAAAACATGTCCCACTTGAGCCTCCGACCCGACCCGGGGCTCGGATTTTGACTGAAAACGCCCTCGATCTTTTACCCACTTGAGCCCCGGCACCTTGGCGGACTACAAAATGCACCCAAGCCCTTTGGATACTGCTTAACTCTTGCTGGGCTGCCCTCAGATCCCCCGCTAAAAGTTAACTTTTGGTGTGTTAATGGAAACTACCACTAAACACTAAAAGGCTAAAAGGCTAAGGGGATGGCTGGGAGCCACCAAGTTTGGTTTGTGCTCCAAGAAGGGTTCCGTCTCAGAAGTTCGGCCTCGGCCAATTGACTCCAAAACTTCTACGCCAGGCGCCAGTCAACCCAAAGCATGCGATTTGCCTAGGCTTGAAAAGGTGACAACTGACAATGGTTGGGATCCTGTTGGTTTCCAGGAGAAGAGAAACAAACAAACACTGTTTCGCCACTAAGGAGCATGTAAATTGTGCCTGATTTTCCCTTGAGGGAAATGGTTTGGGAGCAATGCAGCCAAAGCTTCCTTAGACCCATGTCCATTTCAGATCAATCACGCCTCCGGATTCATTCCGGTCTGGGGTTGCTACAAGACTCTTAGAGCAAGAAAAGGACTCGTACCTGCAGGTTTCATGTGAAAGCCTTTTGTTTCCGGCCCTTGGCATCTGTATGCACCGAAGTCACACATACAGACTCCAAAAGCGTCTCTCCGGGCTAATTGCGGCAGCCATACTAAATCCCACCAATCCAAGCCAAGGGGAAGCTGACTGGAAGCTGAGTTCCTGTCGCCCCTTACCTCGGAAGTTCTTTAAGCAACTTTGGGCATCCTGGGTGATCGGATTTCCTCTTGGTGCTTTGGATTGGTGCTCTGGAGGCTAGAGTGGCTCCTCTAAAGGAACCAGTGGTTCAATCTGTGCTGCCTAGGCGGGGGGTCGGTGATAGTGGGTCCTCCCTACAGTTTGAGCAGGTAAACGGAAAAGCGGCAACACGTCAAAACAGTTTTACCCTTTCCAAGCGGTTTTACCGTGTTGTGGTTTTGCCGTTTTACCGAAAACATGAGAAGCGGACCTGCTATTACCTACCCTGCTGCTAAACCAGCTTAGCAAATCACCAATCCAACCCACCAATCCCTGGGTGTAGTGGGGAATCATCATCATTAGTGGTTTCACCTCCATAACCCCGTATTCATAAACTGGGGTTGATGACTCTGGTGATAGCATTACATGCTTTCATCTGACCATTAGGAAAGCCAAAACAAATGACTTGCACCACTCGGGCAAAGTTGCACCCGTGGTCAAACCTGGAACCGGAACGGACAAATCTTGCTCAAGCCCCAAATGAAAGACTTCCACAGCCCACCCCTCATTACTAAACCGTGGTTGATTCATCTGGGGATAACATTACCTGATATCAAGGACTTCCACATGACCCTTGGAGCATCATCGCCACGACGAGCACTTCTCTTGGATCCCCTCGAAGGGAACAACAACTTATAGGGGTTATGACTCCTACTACTGTGGATGGACAAAATCCATTTCGAACCACTTTTAAAACCATGGTTGAAACCACTGTTGGTCGGTATTTACAGCTGAATCGAACCATTCTATCTCGGTTGCTTTCTGCTCCCCTGCTAAGAGCTTAACTTTTAGTGTTTTGATACGGAAAACCCATTAGTGGGCAAAAACAGTTATATTGTCCGAACATCCCTTGGCCAAATGCCTTAGAGCTATTTTGGGGTTCTGACTCCTATGACCTACCTGGCGATGGAACCTCCAACTTGTGATTTCGTCGAGGGGCAGCTCCAGGCAGGCCACGTTGTTGTGCAGCGCCGCGAAGGCCAGAGGCGTGGACCCCGTCTTCCTCGCTCGAAGGGGCGGGGAGGGCTTCAGCGGGGATCGGCTTGGTGTGACGTCGGTAGCTTCCATTTGCTTAAGTCCAGCCCCTGGCAAAAAATAAAAATCTGTCCAGTAGTGAAATCGATTCCCTTTAAAACCAACAAGGGAAAATAACACATGTTCTTGTGCAAATGGAAGGTTGGGTTGGGGGGCAGCTTTTGGCGGGTTTCCACGTGTGCCCTGGTGAGTGATTCAGGTGTGTAAAAACCATGTGGCCCAAACCGGCAGCTTGGGGAAAGCACAGCGACCCTGGACCGGCCGAGCACGGAACACCCGGCAACAAGGAAAACCGGACCTCGAAAAAGGACGCACAAGGTTCACCCTCCGAAACACCCCATCCCTGGGTATTCAGCCCCTTGAGCGTTTACCGTCTTTTTCTTCTCCTTCTTGTTGTTCCTGTTGTTTCCCCTTACCCTCCCACCGACTAACATGGAAGTGCACAGACCCCTCTAGAAAGACGGCTTTACTCTTGGCAAGGGGCTTTGTGCACTTCCATGTTGGTTGGCGGGGGGGTAAACCCACAAAGAGACCCGAGCCTCCCAACCGGACCCACCCCCGCCGTCTCGCGTCCGCCGCATTTAGCTTCCCCCTCCTTGGTGGCTTGGACTGACGGTTTGGTGGTTCAGTCTACAAACGCCCACCAACTGTAGGTCACAAAAGTGTCGCCTTCCGAGTTTCCCGTTCCCACCAACAGACCGCCCCCCTCCCCAATTGGGGTTTTCAACCCCACAACCCCCACCATCCGCCCCCACCATCCGCCCAACGAGCTCCCTCCGAGCGGCGTGGTGAGGTCCAGCGCGGCGCCGGCGTCCACCAGGCACCGCGCGGTGTCCAGGTGCCCGTGGGCTAAGGTCACGTGCAGCGGCGTCCAGCCGCGCCAGTCCAGGCAGTCCGCGGAGGCACCGTTGTAGACCAAAAACCTCAGGAAGGATTCCATCGGTTTCACCGTCCTTTTGTCGCTGTTGTGGGGTACCACAGAAAAAGAGGCAAATGAAGGTGGGGGATTTTCAGGGGGGGGTCAGCGTCGTTTTGTAAAGTTGAACCAGAACAAGAGACAAACATCTTATAGGTGGGTTTCATTTGGATCTACGCCTTCTTTGGGAAGGAACCTCCGGGGGCTTCGACTTTTTGTGGGTAAATCAGGAATGTTTCCGGGGGGGGTTTTAGACGTTCACCAGGCTTTTTGTGGGGTAGAACCAGAGAAAAGGGGACCAATGACGCCCTCACGGTCCGTTTGGGTCTACCCGTTTTCTTGGAAGGAACCTCCGGGCTTTCATCGGGGTTCATCAGGCGTTTTATTGTGGGGTTGAACCACAAAACGAAACAAATCTAGGTGGAAACCTTGTTGGGTGTAGCCCAGGAACCTCCCAGGTGTTTTAGGGGTTCACCAGGCTTATGGGATTGAACCACAACAAGACGCCTGTTTTTGCAAGGGACAGCAATCTCATCGGGGTTTCACCGTCATTTTGTGGGGTTGAACCAAACAAAATGTCCAAATCTTTGGCCATGAAACCCAGGAACCTCCGGAATTTTTAGGGTTTCACCAGGCTCTTTGTGGGGTGGAACCACAAAGATGGCATATCCTTGCTGGGTTGCACCATGGTTTTGTACAGGGGTTCCATGGTTTCACCGGAACCTGCGGCGGCTTCAGGAGTTTCACCGTTGGGTTTTTGCCCTGGAAAGTCCATACTGCCAGGAAGCGGGGGTCTGTGGGTCCATTTAAGTCTATGCCTTGTTTTGGAATGAAACTCTGGGGTTCCAGAGGTTTCACCGTGACTTGTTCGGGTGAGACAAAACAAAAACAACTTTTGCTGTAAACATGGGTTAGGGATCTGTGACTTGTTTGGGGGCCAAGTCCCAATAAAGGTGCATGAAAAACCAACTTCACACTCGGAACCTCAGGTCCATCGCACCAAAAACAATGTGCCTGATGTAAACCCCGGCGAGAGTACTTCGCTTTTTTGCACGTGCGTGCACACAATTGTAGACCAGGAGTTTGCCCATAAAACCAACAAAAAGTCCATTTGCTGTTTTGGTGTGGAACCCGCAAAGAAACGCACTTAATTTACTTGCATACTTCCAAGCATGCAGATGAGGAACCTCAGGTCCATGTGCGGCTCGGCACCCGTTCTATCTTGGAATCTTGGTTTGAAGGGACACCCGAAGGAACAAAAATAATGCATTTTTTTCGGTCGGCGGTCCTTTCCCCCGATTTTGAGACACACACCCAAACGGCTTTACTTCCATTTGCTTAAGTCCCCTGGAAAAATAAAACCATTTCCAGTAGTGATAGATTCCCTTTAAAACCAACAAGGTGCTTGTTTCTTTCTTAAGCAAATGGAAGTTTTGGTGGACGCAGCGCCTCACAATACGTAGGTTCCCCATGAGCGCGGCGAAGTAGACAGGGCAGCGCTGCTTCTTGTCCGCTTGGTTGGGATCTGCCTCCGCCTCAAAACGGCGGGTGTCCGTGGGGAACATGGGGGGGCCGGTGGCTTACTTTGAGACATATCCACCCCCTTGTGGGTTGTTGTTTTTGTCAGAAAAACGATATGTCATATATATATATATATATACGTCCCGGTTCGTTTGTTTTGGGGGGACAATTAGACATTCTTAGTTAGTTAGCACCCGTTTTCCCAAGAGCAAGGCTTCTCACTGACTTGCCGCTGGTGGTGCTCAAGTGGAACCCATTAAAACTGTCTGAAGCGAGGTCTCCTTCTGTCTGACACTTTCTTCTGGGCTCACGCTGAAGACTTGGAATTTTCAACAGGGTGCGGATTTATTTCGGGTTATTGTTTTCCTTTTTTTTTGGAGGGGGGGATTTTGTTTCGTTTCGATCAAAAGTCGCCCACGGATGTTCAGGGCACCCATATCACTTCGGAACTCAGTTGCACGGACCCTTTGGACTGAAAGGTGAGCTGGTACACGGAACGGGGAGGGAAAAGCCACGACACTCTCAGCTTCGGGTGGCCAGTTTGGCTAGGTTTTCTTGAGTAGAGAGCTTAGACACAGGGTACCAACTTTATCCCGCGTTTTTAGTTGGATCCTTCTTCTCCACTTGCGGCAAACCATCTGGGAGGTCTGCCAAAAGGAACGAGTTCATGGACCCTCAGGGATTATCCGGTTTGGGTGCTTGAGCTTCCAGGGAAAGAACCCCCGTACGTCCCCAGTACGTCCCCATATAGGTCCCCCATAGGTCCTTCATAGGTCCTTCATAGGTCCTTCATAGGTCCCCCCCATAGGTCCTCCAATGGTGTTTCTCAAAATGAGAGTAGCTGAACATTTATGCCAGTCCCAAATTTGTCGGGACCACGACCATCTAAGCCTCTTGCGGATTGATTGTGAACAAACCAGCCAAACACATTGACAGTGCGCCAAGTGTGATGAATCAACCGTTGACATCCGGCAAATATAATAAGACCTGGTTCAGCAAGTTGTTTTTTTGCTATGTCTGGGCTGTTGTCAAACGGTCAAACGAAACGAACCGACAACTGACCACGTGTGGGGCTTCGCTTGCGTAGAGACAATTCCATGTGCAGCATAATGTCATGACAATGTCATGTTACTGCCAAGTCAGGTGCAAACTATGAATCTGACTTGTCAATCTATGAATCTGACTTGTAGGGGAGGGTCTTACTGTGGATAGACGAAATCCTGCACCACCTAAGATACCCTGGAATGTTGATTCCCCTGCATGTGCCAACAAACAGCAGTGTCTCATGGTTGCTCAGGTGGTGCAGGATTTCGTCCATCCACAGTATTACTGGTGAAAATGCTCAACACATGCCCATGGCAGACTGCTGGCCCAGAAAAAAAGGAAGCCTTTTCGACACATAGTTTGAAGGACGTGACCTTACTTGCCATCGCACGCCTCGCAGATCAGCAGTCCCCTCTAAACATCAGCTGCACCAAAAGCTGAGGCCGTGACGCTTGAAAAACCCACCCATTTCACTGGGCGTTGATCTCAGATCCCCCGCTCAGGGGTTAAAACTTCTTGCAAATCAACTGGAAACCCCCCACGAAACCAACCACCGCCACTAAACCAACCAAAAACCTCAAAAGAAAAAAAACCAAACACCTAAAAAAATCTAAAAACCAAATTAAAACCCCTAAGGAACCGGATGGCAGGCGTTCCCCCCCAGGTCCGAGGGCTTTGATTTCTTTTGGTCCGGTCCGCGCCTCCAGCAGCACCCGGATGATCTGCTGATGGCAGCGTTGCACCGCCACATGCAGCGGCGTCCACCCGGACTTCTCCGCCAGGTTCACCTGACGAGGCGACTTCCCTGCCAGGCGGTACCTTTTTCACACCCTTCTTGCGGGCTTTAAAGGGAAAAAGGAAAACCGACGGCAACTTTTGTTACTTGTTGTGTTCCTTTTTTTTGGGGGGGGGGGGTAGCCTGAAAAGAGACACACCCAAGTGGGCTTGCTGGGCCCCAAGATAGCAACCAAACTGGGTTGACTCTCCCACCATTCTCTGCATCGATTTTCTTCAGGTGCCACACAAACAACAACTCACTTGCTGAGTGGATGGCCCAAGAAAAGTTCAAACTTTATATTTACCACTAAAATGGTCTTCCCAAAAAGTTGTTAAAGATCATGAACTCAGGAAGTGAGACAAACAGCTATTCTTTTCCTACTTCCTCGCGATTGCCAGCTCAGTTCAGTTCAAGTCCAACAGGGAATATCTCAACCACCTTATGCACAGGCAGCAGCAAAAAAAATCCGCCGAGCGGGCGCATTCCCGTGAGCAAGCTTTCTCAAGCTCAGAGACACGGAGTGGAAGCAGTGTTGAAAAGCTGACCAGAAGCAACCTGAGTTCACCTCCGCAACTCACCTTGGCCTTGTCCGACGGTTTTGAAGGGGATTCAAAGGGTGTTCCCCCTTGAAAAAGCCATATACACCAACCGATCTGCTACATGTGTTAGCACATATTGATTCGGATTAAGCAACTATCTTTGGGTTCCCTAAGGATCTTTCGATCCGTTCAGGGCTGGTTCTAACTCTGCAACCAACCCGCCACTCCTCCCAGTTTTCCGTGTGCCTCAGCTTTGGCTTCCAGCAGCACGCACAAGGCGTCCTCCTGGGGGTCATCTGGGGCCCATCAGACATCAGACGATGCCTGACTTTCGATTTTGCAGCCATCAAATACCATCAAATGTTGCGCTATTTTGAGACAACACCATTACGCCTTTGAATTCATCGCAGCCAAACAACACTCATTACCATGCAGAGTCAGAGCCAGACGCTTTTTCTTGAAGGGGCCTTCTTGTGGGTTCCATGCCTCGTAGCAAGGTAAGTTAGGCATTCACAGACTAGACATATGTTTTTGTACCTGGTTTTTTGTATGTCCTTTTAATCAGAATTCGGAATCACTCTGGGACCTTTCCGTGTTTTGTTTCGGGGGTGGTCCAAAGGACAACTCTGCACGTTGGGAGAAAGTCCGTAGCGAATCTCCTGGCCAAGTTGCCCAAGTTTGACACCCGGCCACAACTCGTTATGTGGGATATGGCCATGGTGTCCTTGGAGACTTTTCCCGTCGAAACTTGTTGTTACGGGGTTCATGACTACCTTCACTACACCAAGAAAAGGGGTGTTTTGAAACGCAGCCATAGGAGGTGTGCAACAACAACTAGCATGGAGCATACCCTTCCACCAACAATATGGAAGTGCACAGACCCCCCGTCCAAGAGAACAATTGTAGAAACTTCCACAATAGGCCTGCGCAGGGTCCAATGCGATTTCGCGGAGCACGCAGGGTAGCAACGTGCTCTTTCTGCAAAAGCTTTGGAGTGGCAACATCTAAGTGTGACATGGGCTGGGCGTGCAGTGTCTCACTTCCGATCGAGTTGGCCCAAAACAGCCTGAACTTTTTAGGTACCACCAAAATGGTATTCCAAAAAGTTTCAAGTCCATGAACTCAGGGAGTGCTTTTTTTAGGGGTTTTGGATAGTTTTGGCACCTTGCTGAGGTCGGCCCAACTACTTTGGCCTGAGGAGTGAGGTGGTTCACACATTGATCTCTTCTGAAAACTTCATTTGAAGTACCACACATCCCCATTCTACGCATTTAGGGGTGCACCAAAAATCATATCACCAGATATCTCCAGATCCTGCTTCACCTTGAGTCGGATCCTAAAACACGAAATCATGTGGATGTCCATGCCAAAAGCATGTGCTTGCTTTCAAAGGGCCCCCCTCCCAAGAAAACGAGAGGAACGTCTACAATATGTATATATATATATATATATAATTACACACATACACATCATCTTTTTCTAAAAACACCTGTCACTGGCGTCGGGTGTTATTCAAGAATAATAATGCAGATGCTGTGCGGCTGTCTAAACTCCTTGTAGCCCGCAAAGGACAACTCCCTCATGTCTTTGCGTTTTCATTTTCCCGGGCATCGCTCTTGCATATTCTATGTTCAAATTATGGGCACGGGACGCACGGCACAGGAGCCAGTGCTGCACACTCATGTTCAACCACTCTGTGAAAGTTGATGCATACAAGAGCAGGGCATCCTTTGGGACGCCTTTCTTCACTGATGGAAAAAAATACATAGACTAGGTCCTCCAGTAGAGAGGACAGAATAAGGGTACTTTTTTTATGTAGTCTACTTTAACCCGGGGAACCCTCCCCAAAAAAGGGGGCAAAAGTTAGCACCTAGCTGGGGGACCTAGTAGACAACGCGAGTTTGGACGGTTCGACGGTTGACAGGTTGCTGGCGCGAGTCGCAGAGCCTCCTTCCATTTGGTTAAGACCCCTGGAAAAAAACTAACATATTGAGAAATCCCTCTTAAAACCAACAGGGATCCTTACATTATACACCTGAGCATTGCCTTGTAAATGGTGGTTTCCTTTTTTTTGGTGGAAAAAACCACATGTTTCAAATGGTTGCAAAATGGAGATCTTTTAAGGAGCCCTGATCAACAGGGCTAAATTTAAATTAAAAAAACAAAAAAAACATATATATATATAATGTTCAGCAAATTTCCTTTTAAAACCAACAGGGGAAAATCAAAACATATTCATTTCAGCAAATGGAAGCTTCTCCTTGGCCCAGGCTGCGGCGAAGTAGAGGGCCGTGGCTCCGTTCTTGGAGAGGCAGTTCACGTCTGCGCCCTCGCTCGAAAATCCGAGAGCGGGCTCAGACCCAAAGGACTTCACCTTTTCCCACGACAAATGGGTGCAGGGGAAAGGAAAAGTGAGAAGGACATGCTTGGTTGACGTTGGAAGGGGAGCAAAACAAAACTGAATTTTAGCAGTACTTCACCTTTTTAAGGGCCCAAGACGAGAAATGAGCCCAAGCTGACTGGAAGCTGAGTTCCTGTCGCCCCTTCGGCAGTTCTTTAAGCAACTTTGGTTGATCTTGCTTGCTCGACGTTGGAAGGGGAGCAACAGTTTTTGTTTCTTTTTCTTTTTTTTTAAAGCAGTTGAGTGGATTTGGATTTCAACCACTAAACCACAATAATCAATATGTAAAATGTTTCCCAACAACAGGCATGAATGGGTGCCAACAAAGGGGAAAGGAAAAGTGAGAAGGTCGTCGGCCGTTGGTTCTTTGCAAGAAACCTGGGAGTGGTTCCAAGTTTTGGAGGGTGCCCTTGCTAGGGGTCTTTGAGGGAAATCTTAAGGAGACCCAGCATTTTGGGGGTTCCTACAGAAAGACAAACGTGCTTGGTGTTTTGGGAATGAACTGGCTGAGACAACTTGGGAATAGGTCCCCTGCAAAACGCGCAGGTTTCCAGTGATAGATTCTTTCACCAGAGGAGTAACGTAGGTTCTCAAGCAAGCGGCACCCTGAAAGGAAGCAAGGGAACCAGTTCCCTCACGTGCCAGGATCTTCATGTGGGTATGTTGGACTTTCCTCCCTCAAATATCCTTATGGACACGTACTCCGATGCTGTGCCTGATTTGCCCGTTTCCACCGGATAAAGAATCAGCCAATGGCTTCGATGGCTTTCTCTCTCGAGTCGAAGCCCCGCGTCCTTTGCTTCCTGCAATACCACCCCAAGGAGCCCGAAAACATCGACACGCCTCACCTTCCCAGGTGCTGCTTTCGGATGAAGGCGGTATTCACAAAAAACAAGTAGCAAACAAGGAAAACAAGTGGGCATGGTTGTCAAAAATCGGGCAAGCAATGGGAAATGGACTACAATCTGCGGTTTCTTGGTGGTATAATTTTGACCCATACCCAAGCACCAAAAGAGATTCAAAGGACGAAAACGTTGAGGTTGGCGATTGGCCGCGCAAAGTGAACCCAGCAAACAGAGACTGAGTGACACTGTTAGCAATTCACTCGCGCAAAAAGAATCGTGAAAGCTGCCCCCCAATCTTTGTTTGCGCGGACTCCAGCCCACAAATGCAAAGCAACAAGAGTTGAGACCTTGAAAGGGAAACCGCCGACTACTTCCCTTCCAAGGTGCTCTGCGTCTCTGGAAACAGCAGCGTCGGTTTCACCCGTTGACTTTTGGTTCCAAGCTGGGCTGTCCTCTGATCCCCTGCTATTTTTGCTGTTAACTTGTGGTTTAAATGCAAATCCCCACTAAACTGACCGAAACATCGCCAAACCTCAAAACCTAAGAACCTCAAAGCCGAATCACCTGAAAACCTGAAAGCCCGAAGACGCAAAAACACCACAACCCCCCACCCCCCCAGAAAAAAAAAAAAAACGCAAAAAAACAACAACAACCAAAAACCAAAAACATCACTCCAAAAACCAAACCCCCCGGGACGATTTGCCGAAACGGAACCGCCCAGTTCTTTTTTGTGTTGTCGCCCTCCGGCCAGGCGGCGGCTTTGGTTTTGAGGGCATGTGGCTCCTTCCAAAGCTCCAGCCTTTTACCCAAACGGACACACCCGTGAAAAAGCTATATAAATAACAGAATTGGTGCATATATGTACATATACATATATATATATACTGTATATATATATAGAATAGGTGTATATCGTACTATAGCTATGCAAGTCATGCAAGAATCGCCAAGTCGACAGTCTTGGGGGTTTTGGGCTACTTATACGGGGAGGCTTCTCCTGGAGTGTCTGGTCACTTGGAATCCCATGGTTTTCCAAGGGACCGAGCAAGAGAATGAGCTACAGTAACTGACAGGCTGCTCTTCGGCTCCGAACCGAATTTGACTCAGGTTGGGGCTTGGCACTTAGAGAGGGACCTGGTGGGGAAGTGGCAGCGCTTTGGTTGGCTTGTTGCAGCCCCTTGTTCAAAAAAAAAATGCCCCAACGATTCCCTTGACGTCCACTTTCCTAAATCGCAATCCCCCCCCCCCGCGCCTCCTGCAAGAAGCATTGAACCGTCTCCACCTGCCCTGAAGCCGCCGCAAGGTGCAGCGTAGACAGCTCTTTCTCCTCGCTCCAGAGACCCCTGAAACTTGACCCAACTCTGGGGTAAAATAGCAACGTGGGGGGCTCGTCTGTCTTTCTGGGGTTGGCCTGAAGGGAAATCGACGGAAAGCCACTGGTTGCTTTAATATGTTTATTATTAGTATTGTTATTATTATCATTATTAGTATTTGTTTTTATCATCTGCTTTCTTGTGTTGTTGTTTTGGGAGGGGGGAGTCCCTGTCCCTAAAAAACACGCGTGCGCGCACACACACACACACACTAATATGCGCTGATGCTGTCTCATGTGTCAACTTTGACATATAAAACTGATTTGGAGGAGACCCCAGAGGGGTTGTTGGATGACACCATCCCACGCTCACAAACATACGGGTCGTCTTGGGAAAGGCATGGGAAGACTACACCAACACAAAAACTGGGATCGGTGTGTTTGGGGGTTGGTGGGTAGGCAGGTGGGTGGGCGAGGTGACTTCGACAAACATTGTGACGTTATACTTTGCTACGGGCACAAAAGCCACTCAACATGATCTAGCAGCCTTCAGACGAATCGTGAAAAGTGCGTCAAGCGAACAAACAACCTGCCAAGCATGAAGTTCACCCTTCCGCACATGTCCAACCATGGAGCATCCCCCCCCAGCCACGTCGCCGGGGTTCTGAAAATCGGGGCTGGATTCAAAGGGCTGGCCTTTCCATTTTTGAGAAACTGCCTGGGCTCGCATTTGTTCAACCACGGCGTTATCCACATTTTGCAGGCTCGATTTTTTGGAGCGGCCAATGGAATCGTTCGATTCGAGTCCTGAGCTTTCTCTCGGTCCACACCCGCCCAGAGCAAAGTCTCCACCACTTGCCTCAACTCAAGAACCGACGCGAGACGGGCTGGGGAGAAACCCTCCGAGTGAGTTTCTTCCCAAAACCGTCCAACAAAATACGTACTGTCCACATGGCTGTACCCGAAATAGAAGCCTGGTAAATGGAACCAAGGGCTCAAATCTGCGGTCCCCTGGTGGTTTAATTTTGACCCACACCCACATGGGCAAGGTGAGCATCGAATATACCAAGCCCAAGTTTGTGGGCCCCCACTGAGCCCCGAGGGGCCGTGATCACGGCCTGTGGGGTTCCGTCCAAAGAAGCATGATATAATTTAAGACATACAAATTCCCTTGCGCTTCCCCTTCAAACATCCCGGAAGGACTCTCTACCTGACATTTGCGCTAGGAACATAGTTGGCAAGAGATATGAGGCCTCGCCAAGCAAACCACTGTTTCGCGTCTCAAAAGCCAAGTGCATCTGTGGTTCGCACCAGGATGCGGTTATCTGACTCAGAAACATCCTGACCTTCTGATCAAGTTTAAGTTTCTGAGGCTCGTGCAACAGGGGACATCGGGGTTTCTGTTTTTGAGCATATCCCTTTTGGTTGGTTCAAAGGGAAGCCACCAGCAAACCAACCATTTTCTGCGGTCTCCTAAAAAGACACGCCGACATTTGTCCTTCCCAAGTCTTCAAAGATCAGTAATAATTAGTGCCACCCCTCCCCAGATCGGAAAAGGGCGCCAGTTGCACTGTGGAGACTTACCCAACAAGGGGACATCCACTGGAATATGTGCCTTCCATCAACAGCCAAACACTTGCACGCAATGGATCTGGTCGTAATAAATATCAACTTCGGGACAAACCAAAAGCAATACGTATACGGGTGTGTGCCGTTTGTGAGCATGTCCTGTTTGGCTTCTTTAGGCACAAAAAAGTGAAACAGGGATCCTTACATTATACACCTGAACATTGCCTTGTAAATGGTGGTTTCCCTGTATTTTGGTGGAAAAAGCAACATGTTTTAAATGGTTGCAAAATGCAGATCTTTTAAGGAGCCCTGTGAAACCGCCCATCTTACATGCTCCCCAATTGAAGACCAACTCGCTCATTGCTAGTCCTGTAGTCCCACCTCCTTGTGTAGGCCAATCCTGCTCATGGTTATATCCAATGATCGGTTCAGTCCATGACATGATTAGAGTTAGGCCCAGTTATAGAATGTGTATTTTGTTGTTTGCTTCCCTTTGAGTCACTGGTAAACTCTAAAATGTATCCTAAGTCTACCCCAGATGACCCCTGATGGACAAAATCCAGAGGTTTCATCCATCCCAAGTGGCGCATGGCGTAAAAACAACAACATCCACAGCACCAAAACCTTTGCAGAGATGACTCACCCTCGCCCGCGTGCCGCTTGAGCCGGCGACGGAAAGTGGTTCTCCGCGGCGATTTCCAGCGCCTCAGCCGCATTGAGATCTGCCTGCGCCAGGAAGCCGAGCGAAAAGCGCGATGAAGCCCAGAGCGAGCAGCTGCTCATTTCAACTCCAAAAACTACGCAACCAAAGATTAAAACTGAACTTCAGTTTGGCAAGCTTTGACTCAAATCTACGTTTTGGGGAGGGGGGGTTAACCGCAGTGGGCTCGTGGGCGCCTCGCTGACGATGCCCAGGCCCCGCGAGGACAAATACCTGGGCGCGAGGCTGGTTGGACGCTTTCGCCAAAATGACCTTTTATATGTGTACATATATATATATATAAACCACACAGGGATTCAAACCGCATTGGGTTCTTATGAAACCAAGAAAATAATGCAAAACCCAATGGTATTTTTTTGTCTAAAAAACAAAAAACATCACCTGAGAGGTGTGGCCTAGGATTAGTTGACGAGTCACCCCAAAAGTAGGAAACTACCATCCAGTTACTGACTTTGATGCCCAGAAACAGTTAAACTGAGGACAAAGAAGCACTTGCGGGCCATATATGTTTTGTGGGTCAGGTCGCTATGCTCATCAACCCCGCAGAGAGCTTAGTGCTTGTGGAACACCCGGCGAGCCACCCATGTACTTGGATGTTCAAGCTACTTTGAGGGTACAACCATGCTTACAACGCAGCAGATCCCCCCGTTTAAGCTACTAGTGGGTTGAACATCCATGTACCACTGCAGTACTGTTGTCAGTGGCTCAACATAGACGGCTTTCGTCGGGGTGAGAACAGCCCAAAAGTGTACCCTGGCCTAGATTCCGGGAAACAAAAAACAAGTTTCTCAGCCCCCAATGACACTGCCAGGTTTGGATTTCGTGATAATGTTGACCCCCTATTAAGCAACCCCTGTTTATTCATATGGGGTTGGGGGCCCCTCCAAAAAGTGGTCTGAACCCCCACCAAAACCAGGCAAAAGCCGCCATATCAGCAACCAGGCGTTGATTAACAGGTGGTTTCGTGCTACTCAGCCATGGGTCAAAATCCCTTACCCCCAGTGAACGTCCCAATCCAACCACTAAAAATAGGTTCTAAAATGGGTGGTGAATTCACCTACCAACCAAAATGGGATCTCAAAACGGCTTTGACCACCACAGCCACATGCTCACCTCGGTATCCCTTCCGCTTCCCCGACGTTTTCCGAGCTCCCGGCGCGCAGGCGGAGGAGTAGCCCTGCCGCGCCGCGAAGAGCAGTGGCGTCAGCTGGTTCTCGTCGGCCAAGGTGAGATCCGCGCGGCACTCCACCAGGAAACGCAGCACCTGACACCCTCAACCCCATCTAGGTCCTCCAGATTTCAGAAGTTAGAATCAGGGTACCTGATATTTTATATATATTTTTTAGGTAGTCTGTTTTAGTAGGGGAACCCTCTCCCAAAAAGGTTAAAAGGGCACTACTGGGGGACATAGCCATGATTTCAGCCGTTTTACCTCTATTGTTTTTTTTTGGGGGGGGGTATCTTAAGAGGAAACCAAAACAAATTCGGCCTTCTACTGTGGATGGACGAAATCCATTTCGCACCACCTGAGAAACCATAGAATGATGATTCCCCTGTAAATACCAACGAACAGTGTTTTCCCATTGTTTTTAAGTGGTGCCGGATTTCGTCCATCCACAGTATCTCCATGTTGGGGGAATGGTTTAAGGGGAAACCAAAAGGCACGACCCATTTTAGGGGCTCCATTGATTTCCGCTGTTTGTATCTTCATTTGGGGAGTTCTTTAAGGGGAAACTAAAAGTTGACACCAATGATAAAATGGGGGGGGGGAGTTGGGAAGTTCCGCTAGTTTGACCAAACCCTGAAGGTTGGTTCCCTGGTTTCTTCACCGGCCGTTCCTTTTGAGAAACAAATCCCAAAGGGTTGCCCACTTTGTTGCAAGAGAAGGATCCATGAAGAGAAGGAGGCTGGACTCCTGGACCAAAAAAAAATCTGAGCCCAAATCAAGAACCCTTCAGTTGTTTCAAGTGCTATATCTGTCTATGCCACTAAGCCACAATTGTGGGTGAGGAGACCCCAGTTGTAGGAGCTAATGTTTGGCCTTAAGTCGAGCCACAACTTCGATCCGCAACTAGGGTGGTTTGGATTAGCGGTTTGGTGGTTAAGGGGGAAGGTTCCCATTTATCCTCTACAAAAGCCAGGGGTTGAAATGCAGATGCAAACCAAGTAAGGGGAACCTGATACAATCAAAGCCTGGTGTTAAAGTGGTCCACCCAGGACCATGTAAGCAGTTAAGAAGGTAGATATCCGCAATTATGTATGGTTGGGACTGTCGTTGACTAGCCTTCACTTGCCCGGGTGTTTGATTGTGAATCATATATGAATCGCTTGTAAGAACCGACTTCCGTCCTTGCAAACACGAAGAATGCCTGACGCTCGCCTCCTCATGGGCCACCGACAAGAGCACCGGGGTCTCCCGCGCCGCGTTCTGCGCATTCAGCTCGGCAGAGTAGCCCTCGGGCAAGGAAATGCCCTTCGCCATGCTTTTGTCACAAACTTCAAGGTTTGGAACTCCAAGGTCAAACCTTCCAGGAGTTCACTTTGCCAAAGTTCTAGTTGACCTCCACACTTCCATGGTTTCTTCGAGGTACCTTGTTTTTAACTGTGCCTAAGCGGAACCCGAAAGGATGGCATTTCTTCGAAAGTCACCCCTATTTTGACACATGTTGTTGGGCAAGACTTAGACCTCCTGCAAGTGGTCTGTTTATTCGTGAATAAAGAAGACAACAAATTGGTTTTGGGGGTTCCTGCAAAGATACTTAAACCCAGGAATCCTCTACGCGAATGCATCAACTCCTTGATTAAAGTCAAACATGCTTGCGATACTGTGGAACATGGCTCCCCTTTTGTCATACCCCAGTGTCAAACCAGCAAGTGTGTGGACATGATAACGGTCTCCCCCAAAAAACTCAAGTTTTGGCTTGTTCGCCCCTTTGCACAGCAGTCTTACGATTCGGTCATGCAAGATTAAAATATGTGATTTTTGTGAAGACATTTGGTCCTGCAAGATTAAGCTATGTGTGTGTGTGTTTTGCTAAGAAAAAAAGAAACGACACCAGATCCCCCAAGAAAGAAGCATCGGGTCTCGGTCCCAAGGGCTCCAACAAATGTATCAGAGACCCATAGACGGGAAACATGCCTCCCGCACCCCATGTATTTGGGGCCGGCGAATAAATGAGGTTCCTTGTGGTTGGGGGTTGACGCGGCAAAAAGGAATCCTTGGAGTTTTGGCAGGGAATCGGATCCGCAGGGAAGCGAGGGTGGTTAGGCTCCTTCCCTAACCCGCGCGTCGAAGGAGGAGGTAGAGGGAGCGGGAGCTTTTTTGTTCGAAGGGGGAGAGTTTGAGGGGTTCATCCAAAACAAGAAACACAAACCAGCCACACCTTCAACACAGTGATGCTCATCCAAAAGGAAAACACACCTTCCAAACCCTCCAGAAGCTGATGTCCAAATCATCCCAAATGGGGGAAACAAAGGCACCAACCTCTTCCTCCTCCCAAACTCCAGTGGCCATGGGGAAAAACATCGGATACTCGTTTTCTTTGGGTAGTCGAGTCAAAAAAGGAACCCCCCTTCCACAAAACTGGGCAGTCCTCAGATCCCTTGCTAAAAGTTCTAACTTTTGCTGGGCTAAATATGGAAACCCTAACCCAACCACTAAACCCGCTAAAACGCCAAAAAACAACTAAGTTGAACTGGACGACTTGCTGGGAATCGCGAAGAAAACCGGGTGGAACCTAGCAAAAAGGGAAGACAGGGGCACCGGTGGGGGTCTGGGACGTGCTCGTTGGGACCTGGGCCTCGCTCCCGCCAGGTGGGTGGCTGGGAACCGCCAAGTAAACGTCATGTCCCCAAATTCGTCCAATCCAAAACCTGAAAAAAGGGATCCAACGCCAAGCTAAAGGGGTCGGGCGATCTCCGTTTACTTCTAGAATACGGTTTGGATGTGTCGCGAATCTGCGGCTGCACCCCTCTGGAACATTGAAAGAGACTTTTTACTAAAAAATATGACTAACAAAGGGACCTACAGGCTTCCCTGAAATCCACAATCACCATAAGGGGGAGGGGGTGGGGGTTCCCCAATTCTGTGGTTGTGGTCTTCCTCATAAAAAAGAAGAACAAAAACGAAAATGGGCTACCACAAATGGAGATCTCGGGCCGAACCCCCCCGCCTCCCCCAATCAGCCATCTTCAACTTGCTGGTGCGATGGTAGGGAATGAGAATTGGAATGAACCCGATAACCATCGAACTGGTGGTTTCCCTTACTCGAGGACCCCCGGTTCCGGTTCAAACCCAAACGATCGCACCTGCAAGTTTCCAGAAAATCAAGGAAACACACCAATGTTTTAGTCAGGGTGCCACAATTTTGCAGGTTCTTGAAGCCCGATATGCAGATCTCCAGGGGTCGAAATCCCTCCCCCCAATTCCCATTCATGGCCCCAACAGGGGAACGAAGAATATGAGTACACAAACCCAACCGAGTTAATTACTGAACAAGAATGGCTACAAAGTGGGACCCACAGAGGAAAGAACTCGCACCCGAAAAGACTGGAGGAAAATATTTATTGCTTGGATTGTAAGCTATAGTCAAATACGAACATAGGCGGAATATTAGAGGGGAACCTTCACTGTGGGGGGGGGGGGGAAGGCCCCAAACATCCACCGAAATCAGCAATCTAAAATTCGGTGTAATTCCACCCACGTCTGACGAGTGTCGAAAAGGCCCGGACTCGCCGACTCGCCTGCAGCACCTGGGCTGCCTCCAGCTGCCCTGCGCGGGCGGCAGAGTGCAGCGCCGTGTCGCCGGAGTTCGGCTCCACGGCGTTGACAGAGGCGCCCGAGACCAGCAGCGCGCGCACCGCCTCGCTGAGGCGAGGGAGCGCAGGTGGGGGTTGGGGGGGTGGGGGGTGGGGAGAAGGGGAAGGGGGGAAGGGGGGAAGGGGGAAGGGGAGAAGGTGGGTTGGGTTGGGGGCCTGGAGGCGTTGAGGGACTCGAGTTTCCTGGAACTTCTAGATGGTACCGGAAGGAAAAGACCCTTTTGGATGGTACTTAAAGGCAACCACCTGTGGCGTCTCCGAGGGCTGCATGATGCATGTTTGGAGGACTATCTTTATTTATGGGAAACGGCAAGGCAGGGCGGCCCAAGCCCTATCCTGCCAACTTAATAAATATGATTTCGATACTCAACATTGGCCAACATGAGTCCCTTTTAAAGTTACTGTAAGAACTCTGCAACAAACTTGCTGACCCCGGAATAAAACAACAGGAAGTGCTAGCAATTTAGTCCCTCATCTTACTCCGCTACCTCTGTTCGGCATATGATTGACCTCAAAGAACTCCACCTTCAAAAACAATAACCATTCCAACACGGAGGCTTGGTAAAAAGACAACCCCTTCCAAACGAAGGGGGTACAGTGCCACTCATGTGATCTGTTTCAATTTCCGGAACCCTTTGACACAGTTTCTCCCCAACTTTCCTAGTTGAATAGTTAAAGCGACGCCCGACGCCTTAAACAAAAAGCCACGGTGCCCTTTAGCATGATTAGACTTAGGCCCAGTGATAGAATGTATATTCAATTGGTTGCTTCCCTTTGAGTCACTGTCAACATGTAAAGTGTATCCTAAGTCTAATTACCCGAGTTAGGAACCCGGCGACATACTCCGATTATCGGCCACCGCAGCCCAACGCAGCCGTCTCCCACACACGCCCAAACAGCGCCGCCTGCGCGTGGCCCGCTGCGGCCGCGCGGTGCAGGGCCGGCGACCCGCTCACCTCGAGGAGGTCAAAGTGTCAAAGGCTGCGGGTCGGTGGCTGCAACGAAGCTTGTTTTGACCCTGTTGGGAAAAAAGGAGATAGGGTACAAAAGTGCTGGGTCAAAACGAAATAGGTACTTTCCAGGGTACAAAAGTGCCCTTTCGTTTTGACCCAACATATTGCATGCTTTCCATGGATGTAGAGAAAGTGCGTGCAACTAGATGGGGTGTGCAAGTGGATGGATGTGAGATGTGCAAAAGTCAAATTTCTACGCAGGAGTGAAGGGACATCACCTGGATGGGGTCCCCAAGTTAAAAGATATGAAGAGGGGTGTGGGATAGACCCGTCCCCCCGTCAAGGAAGAAGTCAGCTGTCCGCGAATGGAAGACTTCAGCATCCATGGCCAGACTCACGATTAGTGTGCAAAAACCACAGGCTCGTCGACCTGGAACAGGAAATGGGACGGGGCCCAACAAGGACGCTAAAACGTGCATGTCTCAGAGCAAGGGCACACCCAAGGTTCTGACTTTCCCGGTTTCGGTTTCACCGAAAGAAGGGGAAAAAAAAGGAGAAAAAAAACGCACCGTCACGATGGCCGCATGGTGAAAACCTAGTTTCTACAACCAGAACGAAACACACGGGGTTAGTACGGGTTGAATATGGGTTGCAATTTGCAAAACCCAGGTTCTTTTGGAACCCGAGGTGTTTAAAAATACCAAGGTGTTCAAGTTACACCGCCCTGCTTTTTCTCAGGACAAATGTTGCCCTAGGTGCCTTTTTAGCGCCCTTTTTACAGCTCCCGTTTGAACCCTCCTCGCATTTCTTCGAGGCTCCGGTTTTCCCGCCGGTTCGAAGCATTTTGCTCTCGCCTCGTTGGTCTCCCGGAGCCGGTGCAAGACCATAAAGTGGCCCTGTGAGACCGCCTCCACCAAGGTCTCGTAGTCCTGATGCGTCGGTCGCGTCGCAAGCGGACGTGTCGTCGGTACCCGCAACTCTTTCTGGTGCGATAGCTAGGGAATGAGAATTGGAATGAACCTGAGGGGCTCCCTAAAAAAATTCATGAAGGATTCTTTATCCGGGTCATTCCCTCATTCCCTGAGCACCAGCAAGGTAAATCTAGAATGTGTTTTTTCCAGTGGGTTGAAACTAGACATTTCAAACGACCATCTTATTTGACCTCCACATCACCCATAGTTTTACCCTTTAGTCAAGGACATAGTCAAGGGCAAAGACCGAACCATCAACCTCAAAGGGAAAGGCGTGGTAAGCTTAGTGCCCAAATCTATAGCTATTCAGGTTTGCCACCAGAACGCTCACTCTTTTTCACACATCGCACTTGACTTGACAAAATACACTACTTGAAACTACCCCACACGTAAAGCTTCCAAAGCACCTCGGGGCATCTAACCAACATGCCAAAGAAACCTAATCTTACATCATGTAACTAACATGGGCGTATTGCTCCTTTTCGGGTTGGAGTTTCCGTTTTTTTTGTCTTTGGGGTTCTGGGATATGTCTGTGTCGTTCTTTGGACCCCAAAAAACTGCTGCGTTTCCTTGTCTAGGTCCTCCTTCAGAGAGGTTAGAATAAGCTAACCCTTTTTTGATGTAGTCTATTTTAGTAGGGGAACCCTCCCAACCAAAAACGGGGAGAGAAAGGGCACCTAGCTGGGGGACCTAGTTGAAGTTTTCCTCTGCAAAAACAAACAACACCCATCCCCAATGGAGCACACAAAAGCCTCGGAGTCCAGCTGGGCGCGCGCCAGCAGCAAGGCATCAACCACCTACGACGGGACCGAAAGAAAACGAGATTTCCGCGTCCCTAAGGCATGTCAAACACGATATAGATATAGATTACGAACTTGAATCAAAAAAGATTAAGACGGGTTCTCGAAATTACTCTGGGGCGAAACTCCTGTAAACCACCATTTAGCTTGTAAAAATCCCAGTCCAAGGCTGCCTCCTGCAGATCATGAAGGGGGGTAGGTACAAGCGGGGTGGGCACTTCTACTGCCTAGGTTGGTTTCACATGGCTTTGCATACCTGCCTAAAGGGGTTTTGCTGGGTTTGCAAGCCTACCAAACCGAGGCGGCCTAGAAAAACAGGCAAACAGTGGTAGAGGTGCTTTTTGTTTTACTAGGTCCGGTTTTTTACTAGGTCCGGTTTTCCGCAAAGCTGCCGGTGGGTCTTGGGGTGGTTTGGGGTTGATTTAGGCGAAGCGAAGGGCTGACATTCAGGCTGCTGTTGGGCGGGTTTAGGGTTGACTTTGGAGCTGAATTGTGTTAGGTGTGCTGCTGGTTTAGCAGCGGCTTTAGAGTTGCTTTAGGGTGTGTTAAGAGAGTCTTGGTCGAGTTTTGGTGGTTTGGGGCAATGCTCCAAAACCAACCCTAAACTCGACCAAAACTCTCTTAACCACACCCTAAAGCAACTCTAAAGCAACTCTAAAGCCGCTGCTAAACCAGCAGCACACCTAACACAAATCAGCTCAAAGTCAACCCTAAACCCGCCCAACAGCAGCCTGGATGTCAGCCCTTCGCTTCGCCCAAATCAACCCCAAACCACCCAAGACCCACCCTCATGAAGATCCTAACTCAGCCCCAATAGGCAACCCCAGGTCCAAGTGATGCTGGTGATGCCGGGGATGCGGCCAGCCAACCAACCAACCAACCAACCAACCAACCAACCAACCAACCAACCAACCAACCCATCACCAGACCTAATTAAAAAACCAGACCTAGTAAACTAAAATAAACACTACCTCCGGCAAACAGTTGGACTTTTACCTTGCGGGTTTGGCACAGCCAAGTCTTTGACAAGAGATTCCCAGTCAACCAACCACAGCAAACCACCAAAACCAGGCAAGATTGCAATCTGCGGAGTTTGGCTTGTTCCCGGGTAGCCGGAAGATCCTGTGGGGCAACATCCTGTTAGGGCAACATCATGTTTGCATCTGTGAAATTTGGGATGGGTCGAACGGGGCCGTTTCCCGATATTGGGAAACATCCCACGTATCTAAGCCTAGAGTCCTCGCAAAGGCTTTTGCACTGCGAGCGATTGCACGCCCAGGTTTGTTTAGTTAGGATCCATGATGCTCAAATGGGCAGATTGGTGTGATGCACCTAGATGCTGTCGTGGAAGCCTGATCCCCGCATCAAACACATACGTCCTTCACAAATCACTCGGATCCCCACAAACCCCTTGTTTGGAGCATGAACCGCGTGTTGTTGTTTTGCCTTGAGAAGGCTTTGGTAAGGGCTTTCACGGTTGCACTCTCCCGATAAGTATGGGCAGCCTTTTCGGCCACGTAGCAATTTTGTGGACTGAGTATTCCAGCAATGAGTAGGCCATGTTTTGTTTTTTGCTACGGGGTGCCCCTATTCGTTGGTTTTAAGGGACACCAAAGGGAAACCGGCTTCCGATTCCCATTCAGGCACCACTCGATGAACTGCTGGTGCTGAGCCCGCTTTGCACTCTGAATCCAATTGGTGTCACTTCCAAACCGCGCGACATGCCCTGAGGAACCCGAGAGGGGCTCTCAAACTAGTCTGACTTCGTGGATTGGCCAGATGCCAAGAAGTGATCCCTTGGCCCGTAGCCCAATATTGATGTAGAGCAAAGACAAGGGGAGCCATGTGGAGGTTCTGACCTTAGCCCCTGGTCAGTATTCGGCACTTGTCATGTTTTTTTTTTGTTTTTCCGGCTGCAATGGCCTTCTTTTCTGGTGGAGCTGAATCATTGGACAAGCTGTGGGTGAACAACAATAGTTGCACCGGTTGGGATGCATGAAATCCTATGAACAGTGGAAACCACCTACCGACGAGGACATGCTGTGGACAAAATCCAATTCGCACCACCGTTCAGAAGCCCTGGAATGATTCGATCCCCCAACGTAAATACCAACAAACATAATGGCTTCCCCTAGTTTCACAGGTGCGAACGGATTGCTTCCCTCCGCATCATATCATATTTGTTGCTTGTTCCCCCAACTTTAGGCAGAGAAAGCCGCCGCCGTGCCTCCACGTGGCCGTGGGCGATGGCCGCTTGTAGGGGAGGGGTCGGCACCACCTCGAATGGCCGAAGCGGCGTGCGGACGGCCCAGCAACTGGGCCACCCTGGCAGCTTCCCGGCCATGTCCCCTTTCTCGAAAAGTGGCAGCTTGCGTGGAAACCACCAGTAACTAAGGCTTATACTACCCAATTAATTTCCGTTTTGGCCCGAAAAAGCTGCCAAAACAGCCTTTTTTCCTTTTCAGTGGGAAAAGAAATCCAGAAAGACCCCTGTGAAGCCCGGAGCCTGGGGTTTAAACCTTCGCCATCACCTCAGCAAAAAAAAATCAGGTGATGGTTGACTGGTCAAACGCAGGAAGCGCACAACAAAAACGCAAAAAAGGCAAACAAGCAACTTAAGCATGGCCATGAGAAACCACACCCACCGATGTGGGCGTGGCTTTTTTTTGGGGGAGTTGGTATTTTTGTTGGATGGGTTGAAAGGATCATGGACCTTTCTCCATTTCGAGATCCATTGGCGAGAAACCCGTATGAATCCAACCTTGGGCCTATTCAATTCGAGTCATCGACGCCAATGAGGCAACTGTTCGGCGTGCCTGTGCTTACATTCGGCGGTTCGGCCGTGCTCGCCATTTGGCATTCACCTTCATCCCCGAAAATCGACAAGGCAAACAAGTACATATTTATATGGTCAGGCACCCACCCCCCATGAACTAACCTTTCCTTATCTTCCTTCTTTCTTCATAATATCACTGCAAAAGCTGCTACATATACATATGGAACCTGCATCCGTTTGCCTGTAATCAAGGGAACCACCCACAATCAAGTTCACGGCTGGCTACCTATAGTAACTCGGGCCCGCCCTCGAAGCTTCGGCTTTTGCCCTCACCCCTTTACCTTTCAAGAACCCCCCCAACCAGACATGCTTTCAGACCCCAAGAACTGCTTGGACATCTCCACTACAGCACCGACTTCCTTTTGAAAGAACCCCCCAAAAGGGAGACAGTACACCAGAAAGTGCATCTCCGTTTGCTCCGCTTGTGCGGTCCTTTTACTGCCTTCGGCACACCTTCGGCGCCCTCCCTCGAACCATGAACCAACCAGGTGCCGGAGTCACAATCACCCTCCACCTAAGTCGACCGATCGAAACCGAAATGCGGGAATTCCAGTTTCACCCAATAAGGTCCAATGGTTTCTTACTTTCAGGGGATTACAGCCCAAACCCCCAAAGAAAAGTCGCCCACAAGGAAACTAGTACAAAATAACAGTATCTTCGTCTCCAACTGTTTGTCTTTGTGGTTTTCCTTCATTCTCCCTTCTGACAAGCAACCATCTACTTCTGGCCAAGTATCAAACATCCGCTCCCAAACGGGGGTGTTTCTTTCTTGCGGCCCCCCCTAACAAAAAGCTGGGTGCTCATTTGGGCTTCCCTTTCGAAGCCCCCAACCATGGCCTGCCCAGCCCAAAGACACCCGCCTTCGCGAGCCAAGGCCGTCGCGCGAGCCGCGCGAGTTGCGTCAGACGCGTCGAATCGTCGCCCGCCTTCATCTCGAGGTGCAGCAAGTACTTCACCACCTCCAAGTGCCCCAAGCGCGAAGCCACGCACAAGGCCTGACAAGTGTCCAGGGGTGGGGGACAGTGGGGGCCTCTAAAAGCCAAAAAAAGAAGCCCCCGGCGCTTGATGAGGGGACCTCTATAAAACAGCTGATAAAAGGTGGAGTTGTTTGATTGGGGTCAAAATGTCTCCTTTGAGGGACCCGGAAGCTGGATTTCCTTGTTGCCCAAGGCTTTAACTTGCGCACAACCACTACATAGGCCTTATGTGAAGGGTATATACCCCTACATTTCCTTGAAGGCAATTGGTGGTTTGGGGCAGTGTCAGGCAAGAAAGTTGCAGGTATGGAGATATGACCCTGAAGTGGTATATAACCACCACCTCTTGAAAATCCATACCTGCAACATACCCTTGATGAGGTCAGTGGGGTTGGCTTTGCCTACAGAGCCAACCACGTGCCACTTGACATGCTCCATGACACCCTTCACAAATAGCCCAGCACATAGGTTGATGTCTCAAGGGACTGAAGGGTTGGGTTGCGGCACTTAGCTCTTGCCCTTGATTCGGTCCTTGAGTCAATATATGATGCTTCAGGTATCACAACAAGGGATCCCATCAAAGAATTGGGCCACAATCTTGCCATTCAGTCCGGGGGACATGTTGACACAGTTCCTCGCAAAATCCTCGCAATCGAGTCCCCATACTTAACTCAGTGGTGTGACATGCATCTTGGGGCCCTTCAAGAGATACCACCTGATGTGCACTGATTCACCTGATCAGGGCTGTGGGGAATGGAATCCACTTCTGTGATACCACACAAAAAGCTTCCCAAAGACTACCTTGTTCATACAAAGGGGGATTCCCTTGTATCACAGACGTGGGGAGAAACCCCTTGATTTCACAACCCTGCAACTGATCATAGGATAAGTTTGCTTGTGCAATTCTCCGGCCCCGGAGAAAAAAGAAACCGTCTGAACTCCCAAGTCGACGTCCCACATGATGAATGTATCAGGTGGAAACCCAGATGTGCGCTGGAGGCAAAACCCAAAGAAATCCCGTCTCCAGCAGATCTGGCTACAAAATTGGTTTGTCTCAGAATAGGAGGTTCTCAAACTATGAATCAGAACTGTCCAAAAAGAAGAAGTTGTTTCCTTTTTGGTTTCCCTTTTAACCAACCCAACAAGGGAGCCCTCGCCTCACAAAGGGAACCCACCCATTCGTGGCTTGGGAAAGTCACCCCGCGAGTGACTCGTCGCTCCATCGCTCCCCGCCTCCGTGGCCGCGTCCTCCGGCACGGTGCCGTTCAAGAGCAGCACCCCCACCACCTCAAATTTGTCGAGAAGCAAACTGAATTCTAGTCCAAGATTTGCTGACATTCTCATGATCTAAGGACATTCTTCAATGATCTGAGGGTTTTGGTACTTCACCCTGGGATTGCACCCTTAAATGATCCGGAATGGTTCAAAATTACAGGGTTTTGTCCGGAAATATGGCTAAATGGGGTCAATTCCCTGGGTGTATTCCCAGGGTGTAACACAACACCCTTGGATCAAAGCTTGCCCGGCCCGACTCGAGTCGTCCACCAAATCAGGTTTCAGATTGGTAGCTTGGCAAGGGGTGTTTGTTTGTTGGTGTTTTTTCTTGTCTAATGTGGCCGAATGCTGCTTCATATTTAGTATTGCTAAAATGAAAAATCGTTTTGGAGGAAATGTCCATGTAATGGCGTTGTGGTGTTTCATTTCAAGCCAAGGGGCCCTTTCCTGTGAGGATGGGTTGCACGGGGGCAAAAGTGATCAAGGGACCTTCTCAGAAATCACCCCTTACCAACCTAGTTGATACCACCAGATGCCCCCCAACCCCTGCAACCCCTGACTTTCCTGTTCCCATCCAACCACATGTTTGGCGCGTCCCCCTCACTGGGACGGATGCCCAGGACAGCTGGATCCCGAGAAATTCTCTCTTCGGCAGAGTTTTAGCAGAACCGGAGAACGGCGGCGTGCCAAAAAACGAAGGCCGGACCGTACTTATGAAAACCCAAGTGTGGTACCCACTTATAGAAAGGCGTAACGCTTGGTTGGCGTTGGAAGGGGAGCAAAAATTGGAATTTTAGCAGTTAAGTGGGGATTTCCCACTAAACCACAATGATCAAAATGTAAGATGTTTCTCAACAACAGCCATGAACGGGTTGTTCCTCCAAGCAAGCCTTCAAATTAGCCCTGCGATTATCCATGAGGAGCCATGTAAATGACTCCTGCCCAGGACTGGAACCTGGGCATGCTCACCCGCCGGCAGGGTTCCACCCAAACATGGATGTCCCCTTTGCATATCACAAAAGGGACTTCGTTCAAACATGATCCAACAAGCTATGTTTACCGTTCTAACACAGGCACCTGTGGGAGGGTACCTGTAAGATCAATTTCCTCTTGAATGGGAGCCCCTGTCACGTGCCATGTTCGGAGGTGCATCATCCAAAAAGACCTTACAGGGACACTGTCCGTGAGGGACATCCTAGTGAACACACGCAACCCACGTCACACGCGCTGCCTGAAGGCACAGATACCCTCCCACAGGTGCCGTCTGTTTGCGGGAGGAAGCGTGCCTTCCAGTAGCTTGATCTCCCTGGCGGGAAAAAACATATTTCGAGTAGTAACAGATTCCCTTTAAACCCCAAATGGAAGAAACATATCCGCCGACATTGCTCGGCGTGTCGGATACTTACTAGAGGATAGAGGATAACCCCCCCCCTAACCCCCCGCCCGACGTCTATTACGTAGGTTTTTGGGGGGGGGGGGGGGGGGGGGGGAGGGGGGGGGGGTCCCCCACGTACCGCGCGGCAATTTGATGACGTTCCACTAAACGTAGTCTTCGGGGAGCCGGTGTCGCAAAACAGGGGTCCCAGGCTCGATTCCCCCTGCCGGCTTTTTTGCTGGCTTGGGCTTCCTGCATCCTTTTGCCGAAAATCTGGAAAAACTCAATGTTTTTGGACGTCCTCTTTGCGAAAACGCTGGAAAAACCGTGTTTTTTTTGCGGGAAATACTGGGGAGCAAAGGGGAAGTGCAAGGATACATACATACATACATACATACAGTACATTACATTACATTACATTACATGACATTACATGACATTACATACATACATACATTACATACATACATACATGCATACATGTATGTAAGCATGCATGCATGCATGCATGCATGCACACATACATACATACGTACATACATTACATGCATTACATTACTTACTTACTTACTTACTTACTTACTTACTTACTTACTTACTTACTTACTTACTTACTTACACATACATACATACATACATACATACATACATACATACATACATACATACATACATACATACATACATACATACATACATACATACATACATACATACATACATACATACATACATACATACATATACATACATACATACATACATACATACATACATACATACATACATACATACATACATACATACATACATACATACATACACATACATACATACATACATACATACATACATTACATACATACATACATACATACATACATACATACATACATACATACATACATACATACATACATACATACATACATACATACATACATACATACATACATACATACATACATACATACATACATACATACATACATACATACATACATACATACATACATACATACATACATACATACATACATACATACATACATACATACATACATACATACATTACATTACATACATACATACATACATACATACATACATACATACATACATACATACATACATACATACATACATACATACATACATACATACATACATACATACATACATACATACATACATACATACATACATACATACATACATACATACATACATACATACATACATACATACATACATACATACATACATACATACATACATACATACATACATACATACATACATACATACATACATACATACATTACATACATACATTACATTACATTACATTACATTACATTACATTACATTACATTACATTACATTACATTACATTACATTACATTACATTACATACATACATACATACATACATACATACATACATACATACATACATACATACATACATACATACATACATACATACATACATACATACATACATACATACATACATACATACATACATACATACATACATACATACATACATACATACATACATACATACATACATACATACATACATACATACATACATACATACATACATACATACATACATACATACATACATACATACATACATACATACATACATACATACATACATACATACATACATACATACATACATACATACATACATACATACATACACATGCATTACATACATGCATACATCACATACATACATACATACATTACATACATGCATACCTACATACATACATACATACATAACATACATTCATTCATACATACATACATGCAGGCATGCATGCATACATACATTTCATACATACATTACATACATACATACATACATACATGCATGCATACATACATACATACATGCATTACATACCTACATACATACATACATACATACATACATACATACATACATACATACATACATACATACATACATACATACATACATACATACATACATACATACATACATACATACATACATACATTACATACATACATACATACATACATACATACATACATACATACATACATACATACATACATACATACATACATACATACATACATACATACATACATACATACATACATACATACATACATACATACATACATACATACATACATACATACATACATACATACATACATACATACATACATACATACATACATACATACATACATACATACATACATACATACATACATACATACATACATACATACATACATACATACATACATACATACATACATACATACATACATACATACATACATACATACATACATACATACATACATACATACATACATACATACATACATACATACATACATACATACATACATACATACATACATACATACATACATACATACATACATACATACATACATACATACATACATACATACATACATACATACATACATACATACATACATACATACATACATACATACATACATACATACATACATACATACATACATACATACATACATACATACATACATACATACATACATACATACATACATACATACATACATACATACATACATACATACATACATACATACATACATACATACATACATACATACATACATACATACATACATACATACATACATACATACATACATACATACATACATACATACATACATACATACATACATACATACATACATACATACATACATACATACATACATACATACATACATACATACATACATACATACATACATACATACATACATACATACATTACATACATACATACATACATACATACATACATACATACATACATACATACATACATACATACATACATACATACATACATACATTACATACATACATACATACATACATACATACATACATACATACATACATACATACATACATACATACATACATACATACATACATACATACATACATACATACATACATACATACATACATACATACATACATACATACATACATACATACATACATACATACATACATACATACATACATACATACATACATACATACATACATACATACATACATACATACATACATACATACATTACACATACATACATACATACATACATACATACATACATACATACATACATACATACATACATACATACATACATACATACATACATACATACATACATACATATGTACATGCATGCATACATACGAGAGAGGGAGAGTGGGGAGAGAGAGGCTTGGGGGGATGGGGAGGATGGGAGCAGAGGGAGGGAGAGAGGACGACAGAACACACAAGGGAGACAAGGAAGAGAGGAAGAAGGAGAAAAGGGAGAGGACAATGTCGGCGGACTGAGCCGGAGGCTCTAAAGTATATATATATATAAACAACATTTCAGAGAATGGAATTCTTCACAGATTCCCTTTGAAACAAAAATGGGACAAACAAAAATAACCATTTCAGCCAATGGAAGGTACCCTTCTTAGGGCCATTGGGGCCATCGCTCCGCCGCTCCGCCTCCACATGGCCGTGCTCCGCAGCCAGCGTGAGACCACTGGAGCCCTGCTTGTCCCGGTGCCGGGCACAAGCCCCTTCGCGGAGCCTCAGACAACCGAGACGAGTCTGAAACAAAAGCACCACATTTGAATCACTCAGCAAGCGGAAACACGTGTATGATGCGTATATATATATATGTATCAAAAAACATATAGACGGATACACATAATTATGCCATATGATGTTGACCCCCAATGTTCAGCAATCTTCGCTAAAGGGGATCCCCTTTTAACCAGGATTTAGGGGGGGGGGGTGATAGGAAATTAACATGTTTTGTTTGGCTACAGGCGCAGTTTGGTTTGCTGAATCTTTTCGGTTTAACGCGGAGCTGGAACTTGCCCCTGTTCACTAGCAAACATTGATCAAACACATCTTGCCTTTGTTGGCAACATTTGCTAAAGAACGACCCTGCTGTGAATTGCTATACACACCTCAGTTCTGCAGCGCTATGCAATATCATGCGGATATGGGCTGGTTCCTTAGGGAGGGGGATCGGCGTGTGACAGCTCGCGATGAAACATTGTGATCCTCTATGACTCTATGACATGACATGGTTCTTTCTGGACATTTGCTGTGGGCTACAACTCAAACGTAAATAGGATTTAGGAATCACATAATCAGGAAGTAATTGAATCATAATTTAAAGGGACATTCCTTTCCACATACACATGCATATTAACTAGAGACTACTTCAAAACTATAATTGCCATGTGAATTACAATTCCCTTTAAACCATACTTAAAAGATAAGTACCAATTGCGATATAATTGAAGCGGGACATAGTTGAATTTGAATATCTGTGTGAACTTAAATTGGAAGTGGGAATTCCTTTCCAAATAGCATTTTACTTAAAGACAACGGCAATGTAAATGAAAGTTAAATGTCTATTTCGATGGACAATTTAAGTACTATTTGCTGCAGTGTGTGCTGTTGATCGACGGAACGCCATGGGTGCTGCAGGTGTGTATTTTTTTGGTGCGTACATTGTATTCCATGTCAATTGAGCCATGTCCAAACGTGTCGTGATTCCCTATGTCGCATCCCTCTCCTTACGCCGCTTCCTTACGCAGCCTTACGCGCACTGTGCTTTCGCTTACGCGGCACATGGGCTTCAAGTAGGCCTTACGCAGCCCTTACGCCAGAGAGACCGGACGCAATTCCGTGGAAGGCGGTTTACGCGAGCACTTTTGCCTTTCACCCAGATGACGAGCTGTGGAGGAAGATGAAGAGGAGGAAGAACAGCTTCATTGCAGCGAACTTGCGAGTCAACGCATTGTCGTCTCCGGCTTTGGGCCCTTCCAGCTCCCTTCTCGTTTGGCGGGGTCCTGCTTTCTCGCGATGGCGCTGCCTTGTGGAGCAAGGCAGCGCCGTGCGGCAGAGCTGGACAATGAGCTCGGCAGAGCTGGACAATGGCAGGTAAGGGAAGGGCTTTGCAAAGCCGGCAAGGCTACTACTCAGAAACGCAGCTGGGGCTTACGCGGGGGCTTACACGAAGCTTACGCGAGCCTTACGCGGAAAACGCCCAAACATTCCCTAGTTTTGCGTTGTGTAGTAGCAAAGGACAATATTGCTTTGTAAGGCCCAATGGGTAGATATGACAAGCACATGACTAATGAGAAACACATGGATATGACAAACAACATGACTGAAGAAACACATAGGATATTCCAAACAACATGACTGAACAATAGCTTACGCGGAATGCTTGCGTGACATGTTGTTTCGACAGTTGCTTACGCTGCCTTACGCCCGTGCAGGTTTTGCTTGCGCCACGGGTCGATATGACATAGTCCCTGATAAACATGTAGACGGAGGTTTTGGACGTTGCTCAATTGTTTAAGATGAATCAAAGCCCGGAATTTAACTTGGACAACTCATATCAGCCATGGTCAATCAACTCCTAGGAGTCCTCATGCCCTTAGGAGTTATGTGCAAAATTTGCGCCGGCCAACCCGAAACCCGAGGTCCTGCTGGCCTTGGCCGAGCCCAAGAGGTGTCACATGACCATGGCTATACGCAATCCATGGCGAATTCCCTGCCTTTGGGTACCTCAAGGCACAACTCCAGCGCAAAACCCCAAAACACACCTTGGGAAGACTCAACTGGACCATCCCCGCTCACACACACCCACACACACAAGGGGCTGACCACCCTGCCAAGCCCCGCATTTCTCAAATTGTGGGAGCCCTCCACGCTCACCAGGCGACAAGTGAGCCACCACTGCCGTCTGCCCAGTGGCGGCGGCCCTCAGCAAAGGCGTCCGCCTGGCAATGCGCGGTGCCAGGGTTCCACTTATTGATTGATCTGGGCTGCCCTCAGATCCCCCGCTAAAAGTTTAACTTTTAGTGGGTTAAACGGAAACTACCACTAAACACTAAAGGCTAAAAAGCCACCAAGAACTGATCTCATCTCTGCTTTAGCCCTGAGGTGGCTCCACCACTGTGAGTACCTTGAAATCCTCGGAGTTGACTAGCCCTGAGTTTGTGCAAGCAAGTCATGAAGCCTTTGAACTTGATCGAAACTCTGGTTTGTCCAACCGTGATGCACATGAGTGCTCTTGGATCTGTTCGTAGTGTACGCTCTGTTTAGTTGGTTGATTGAAGAGGTGACACAACCCCTTGATCAAAAGGAGCAGTCTTTCCGGCTTCAGAATTATCGTTTGCAACGCCCCTGAAAAAAAGGGTCCTTCTGATTTGTAGGACAGGCCCACACTTGCCTTCTGTCAATGCCACGCGGAAGAACATGAAGGTGCCTTTCTCTGATCAGTGGGGTCCTTCCTTATCACATCCGAAGTGGACGTCAACCCCAAAAATGCCGTGAATTCCCAAATGCGCACGGGGTAACGAAAGTTCTCCTTTGGGGGAAGCGCGTACCTTTTAACATCTTGTTGAACACAGAGCTCCGTCTACTTTGGTTAAAAAGGACGTGGTCAAGCTTTCGGCGCTATACTCCCCATCCTCCAAAAGTCGGACCCTCTGGCTGGGTTGAGGGGGGGTATCACTAACCCCAATGCATAGCGGAACGCCACAACAACCAGGAAAGCCAGAGAGTTTGAGGGGTTCATCCAAAACAAGAATCACAAAGCACCCAGCTACACCTTCAACACAGTGATGCTCATCCAAAAGGAAGACACACCTTCCAAACCCTCCAGAAGCTGATGTTCAAATCATCCCAAAAGGGGGAAACAAAGGCACCAACCTCTTCCTCCTCCCAAACTCCACGAGCCAGGATATGAGAACTTATCCCAGGTGCTTCCAAGACCTGGGTTGCAGCTGCAATCATGTATCAGAAACTGGGCTGCTTCAAGCCAAACCCCCCTGAGCAAATGGTGGATCATGTTTTGTAGGTCTAAGTGGGCGACTTGATCACCAGCCATGAACCAGCCAGTACCAAGGGCGGCCACAAGTTTTACCGGGGCCCGGTTCTTGTGGCTTCCACTTAAACCATCCGGCAAAGCCTTCCTTCCAACACAAAGGCCCGGGAGATATTTGTAAGGATCCCCGGCACGAACCCTCCCAGAAAGCTGGCCCTCATCGCCTATCAAAGGGTCTCTGGGGAACAAGAAGCACACAGACGTTTTTTGGACGGCAACGGCCAGCGGCCCGACCAGCCCCTCCCGCCCCAACTCAGCGCAGCGGACCCCTCGTTGTCCTCCGCCTCCTTGTCGGCCCCAGAGGTCAGGAGCAGCTTGAGAGCCTCGAGTCGAAGCGCTCAAGTGGAGGGCTGCCAGTTTTCTCTGCCCGGCGAAAAGTTGAACTGGGTCCTCCAGTAGAGAAACCTTGGGTGTAGGAAACTTCCACCGAGATCCCCGTGCTTCTGTTGAACAACAGCTAGGTCCTCCAGTGGAGAGGTTAGAATAAGGGTAAACTTTGTTTTCTGTAGTCTATTTTAGTAGGGGAACCCTCCCCCCCAAAAAAAGGGGAGAGAAGGGCACTACTGGGGGACATAGTTAACTTGAGGGTTAAACATTCGGAAACCACCGTTCAACCGACGAAAAACCTGACAAGCTAAGGGACCGGATGGCTGGAACCCACCAAGAAATGCCTCCTCACTTCCGAAGGAGTAGATTAGTTCACCCGAGTCCCGCGTCCTGTCTTTTTCGCTACCATGGTCCAAGCCCAAAAGGATTTGAAGCCGAGGAAGTTGACCACTGGGCAGGGACCAAAAACCATGGGCCACTGACTTCCGAACGAGATTGGCAACCAAAAAGCGCAACCAAACCTCGTGGAACTGCCACGAAGATCAATCCTAGGAAGCTGTGTGGATGCGGTTTTTGTGGATCCACAACCCTGCAGGAAATTTAAAGTGTACTAACAGAGTACTTAAAAAAAGAAAACCATCCGCGAAAAACAAACAATGATAATAACTTTTGTTTTTAAAAAATATATAAAAAAAATCAGAGTTGCGTCAGAAACGGAACTCAGAGTGTGTAATTTTTACCCCGGGTGACCTTCACTGGTTTCAGGGCTGGAATTCTGGTGGTTTCCTTCCAGGCAAAAAGTTCATTCCCACAGCGATCAGAAAGTGAGGACATCATTCGGCTGGGGATTGGAAAAACCGGTGCTTGGTTGACGTTGGATGGGGAGCAAAAAATAAACAAATTTCAGCAGTTGAGTGAGATTTCAACCTCTAAACCACAATAAGCAAACATGTAAAATGTGTCCCAACAACAACCATGGGTGTGTCCAACCAGTTGGGAGAGTATTCCCCCCGAAATATCATCACCGCCAGCCAAACGGGAGCCGCCCCGATCCATCTGCGGGCACCTCCCATGTTTCGGCCCCGAACCCGCCTCAACAAGTCCTGCTTTTTGGCTGCCCACGAAAAGGAAAACCAGTGAGGTCCAAAATCCCAAGGTTTGGGGCTGGCAACACTAGGTCACCCCTGATCTGCATCTGGGCGAATTGCTCTAATTCCCAAACCAGGAAGAAGGGAACACCGGACAAGGACCTTCATTCAGATTCATCCAAAGTTGATACTAGCTCAAAGTCACTTAAAACAATGGGACCCTCATCGTGAGTGAGCCGGGTTAGCCATTTGCAGGTTTAATGGAAAAAAACCCTGCAATTTTCAAAGGTCTCAAGGGAGAAGCTCGCACCAAAGGCCACGCAAGCTCCCTATGTGCAGCGCTTGCAGGCCCTGTAGTTCTACAGGTTTATCTCTGTTCACTGAGTGAATCTGGTCGTGCTTCGTCTCTATGCACGTTCTTGGCAATTGTCTGGAAAACAACAAGCTGGTCAAGAAAACAGTTTGGATGTGGCTTGATCCACCCCTGCAGAATCTATTCAAAGAGTACTCAAAGATGACAAAAAAAAACGGGTGACATCCACGAAATTGCGCAACCAAACCGTTTGCTATAGAAACAACAGAGGCAGAAAACGAGCTCCTGAGCTGCAGCCCACAATACATTCTGGGTGAAGTCTACTTCCCAACCCCAGTGCTTCCGCAAAGAACCAGGGGAACACCCAATTAAAAAAAAAAAAAACACGCCAAGGACAAATGTGTTAAGGTGGCCATGGGTCAAAACCAAATCGTGCCCCAAGTGAACATCCCAATCCAACCAAAATAAAGCCTAAAATGGGTGGTGAATTCACCTACCCCAAAATGGGATCCCAAAACGGTTTTGACAACCACAGCCAGGTGGCTCAGAGCTGGGAACCCGAAAAAGAGGTACCCCGAAAAAAAAAAAAAAAAAAAAAAAAAAAAAAAGCTTCCAGTGCCCGCAAACCAAATTGTCGGCGGGTGAGGTCGGAGCTGCAATCCGTCGTTTTTTTTTTTTTGTTGTGTTTGTTTTTTCTTTTTTTGTTTTTTCCTCTTTTTTTTGGGGGGGGGGGCATGTGTCAAACAATGGTGGTGTTCCCTTTGGTGTCCCAAGAGCCCAACCCAAAACAGCGCACCGAGCCGCAACCAAAAAACGAGCCACACCCACCAGAAAACACCCCGCCCTCCAATTTGTTTCTTAAGTCCCCCGCAAGCAAAAAATCATACTTGCAGTGGCGATAGACTCCCTTTAAGGCCAACAGTGGAACAAAAACACACACACACACATTAATTTGGGTGTGGCTTTACTCTTTGTTTCCATGTACCTTTCGGTGCACATTTTCGGGATGTCATTTTTAGAGCCACAGCCATACCCAATGATTCCATTTTCCTGTATGATAATTAACCATGATGGGAACCACCCTTTGAAAATCAAATGGTTACAATGGCTGGTTCCCTACTATAGTGGCTTGCCTGGGATGCATAGGGATATTCAAGCATGGGCATGAATCATCAGAAATGAGAAACCGTTTCTTAGGTGGTGGCAAATGCATTTCGCAACCATCCGCAGTACCAACAGGAGGTTCCCCAAATGGCTTCGGTGTTCTTTTTGGTTTCCCTTTGAAGCCTACCGTGGATGGACGAAATCCTGCAGCAGGAAAACCAAGTATTTGTTGGTATTTACAGGGGAATCAGGGTTTCTTAGGTGGTGCGAAATGGATCTACAACAGAAGCCCCCAAAATCGCTTCAGTCTTCTTTTTTGGTTTCCCTAAGCCTACCAACAAGTTGTGTACCAACTTCAAAAAACCGACAAGGCCATCTCATCTTCTCAGATGCCCAGTGGCCATGCGGAAAAAACAAGAAGGGCATCCTAATTGTTTGGTTGGTTGCGATTCAAGGAATCCGAACCCTTCCCCCCCCCCAAAAAAAAAAACACGGCAAAAAGGGTTAAAGGGTTCAACCCTTCCCAAAATCAAGAAGGGGGAGGGCGGAATCGAATCCACTGGGAGCCCCAGGCCCGCCTCCAGCTTCCCCTCTTCGGCCGCGGCGTGCACCGCATGCACCGCCGCCCAGCTGAGGATTCGGTCCTTGCACCTGGCAAAGGCCTGGCGCGCGGCTGGGTGGGTGGGTGTTCGTCGGGTTGCCCTTCAAAACCACCAAAACTGGGCACCCAGCCTCAAACAAAGACACACCCAGTGGGATTTTTTGATGCCCCCCCTTTTAGGGGGAATCTGCTTTTGGTTGGGAAAGGGGAAACCAAAAGGAAACCAAGCAGTTCAATCAATGTGGACAACCAAGGCAAACTTGAACCACGGGGGTTTGATCCCTTTTGGGGACATTAAACACCATCCCTGGGTTGAAGTCTGGAATCAAAAAATGGAACCCCGGAGCGCGGGCGCCCTCTGAATCTTCCACTACAGCATTCCTCGTCTCGCCTTACCCGCAATCCATGAATCGCGGGTTTGGTTTGGTTTAGATGTTGACTTGTTTCAGAAGGTACTGGGGTTCACATCCACGAACCACTGATGTGTAGCACTAGCGCCACCTGGCCGGAATTGAATCACCCAGCGGTGTCTCCGGCTTTCGAGGGATCACTCCCCACTCTCGTCCACGCAAATTGAGGGCTGGGTTGACCCCTTGACCCAGTGACCGTGCTGCAACTTTTGAATCCCTCTGAGTGGTCGGGGGGAACCCAAGATTGAGGTGTTGGATGACATATATAGAAAATCGCCCAACCCTCTCGGCCTGCAGCACATGTTTGCTGTGTTGTCGTTTCTGTCTACAAGCGCCAGTTGAATCCTCTTGTGATGCTAAAGTGGGCCATCCCTTTGACGAGGTTGCTCCATTCCACGGGCGCGGCACAGAACAAATCAGAGCCACCGAGTCATCGTGTGGCCTGCCCTCGAGATAAACCCCTGGGTATCTCGCTACAATTCGTCCAGAACTGCCGTGTGCCCTCCGATTCAAAGGTTTGGCGGAAGCGAGACGGGACCCCTTGGCCGAGTGATTTTCACTGCACCTGCCTGCTTCGGACGTTGATGACTTCCCTTTTCACAAAGAACGCTTGGGCGCGGTTCCTGTTTTTGAGGGTGCCCCTTTTGCGGTTTGTTTAAAAGGCCAAACGAAAGTCAAATCCTCCTGGCTCCGATTCCTGGGTTAAAAGGACACGCCTCACATGGTGAGTGTAGCATGTCAGCCCCTGAACAACAAAAAAATGACCCATCCCCTTTTGGCATTATTTTTAGGGAACAACGCCAGATTATGGTTGCCATTTATTTGGGTGTGTCGTGTTTAGGGGATCGTCCCCTCCAAAAAAACTACAAACCTTTTAAACCACCAAAACAGGGTACCAACTCCGCGAAAAGCGAGCCACCGGATTTCCCACACTCCGCCTCGGGCGAGGGCAGCTTCCTGGCAATGTGAACGTAAGCCACAAGAGGAGACTCATCCAAAAACCTGGCCTTACAATGGTGATGTAACCGTCTTTTTGGGATCCGTCCAGCACCGCTGAGTGGCCACTACCAATAGCGTAGTGTCTCGCAGAGTGATCTTACCACTGGTGCTACAGAGAGAGAGAGAGAGGCCCCTCGGAATTGCGTGTTTTCTTTTGAGGATACCTTTGTGGGGTTGGTTTAAAGAGACACCAGTAAACCACCCATGTTGAAAATCCGTTCTCCTCTTTCGAGACAAGACCATTGCCCATCTCCCAGGGATTTGTTTAGGGAGGAGTCAAATCCTGGGTGATTGTTCGCAGTGAAAAAACTCTGCCTTACTCCAAATGAGGGGCACCCACAATGCTCCAGCGAGCAGGAAAACACGCCTATGGCTGCATTGAGGGCGTGCCAGTGCCAAAACAGCGACTTGACGGGCTACCAGGGTGATAGCTCATAGCGGACTCAAGGGCTCAATGATTCCGCGGCCGCAAACACAAAGAAACACATCAGAAGGTCCAAGATCTCCCTCAAAGAAGAGTGGGCCACGTTCGGCAAAGTCAATATACCCAACCGAACGATTTTTATCCACTTCATCTGCGTACCAGCTCACCGCCATCGTCACCCCCAGGGGAAAGGGGTAGTTGTGATATACTCCATTTCCCTTGGGGGGTGGCTTGGGGGAAGTGGAACCTGTCTGCGAAATGATCGAATATGCAATGGTGACAACTTTATATTCTCAGCCCATGGCGAATTGGGGCCCAAAAGTGGCGATCGGCTCCCCATAAGCAAGCAACAGGCAATGGTCAATTGGGTGGTCAAAGTTCGGGCGGTTTTTTGACCGAATTAGGTGGCAGAGGCGGCACCAGCCATATTTTGACAACCCCTCCCAGGTTCTGCTTCCGGTACGTCTACATTCGGCCTTTGACTTTGAAAGAGATGGGAACCCAAATTCTAGGCCCTGCCCATCTTGGCACAGGTCGAACTTTCCGGGCTGCTCTTCTGTAAAAGGTGATGTTGATTGACTGGTACCTGGAAACCAAGAGTGAAGTCATATCAACAGTTGTCTTTTTCTGGGGCGACCCTCTTTTGGTTGGTGTTCAAGGTAAACCAAAAGGTTTATCCGTTTGCTTTGGGGGGTCTAGAATAAGACGAGCCATATGCCAAAGTGACGAGATTCGGGTTGAACGCTCACCGGGTACGAAGGCCTTCCGCGCCTAGTCTCCGGCGACTTTTTCGGAGCCATGACATCTATCTTGCTATTGCCACACGGGTATGTCTTTCTTTGAGGGGACCCTTTCCAGGGTTTCTTTTCAAGGAAAACCAGAGGAAAAACAACTTTTTTGGGGGGGTTCCCCCGTTTTAAGACACACCCCAATCTGTGCATGCCGACTGATGTGATAAGTTCAACTGATTTTGATCTGGGGACTTATTCAACGGCAACTTAAACAGTCAAACTGGCTGAAAGCCCCCAGTATCCAAATTGGGTACTCGATTCTCGATCTCTTTTTTTTTTTAACGCCAGAAACAGGTACACTGGGTCAAAGACTGACAAACCCGGCATGTGTGTGTGTGTGTGTGTGTGTGTGTGTCTCTTGCTCTCAGTCTGTACTCTGAGAACCTAGATACCTGTGGCCTCGAAGCCTTCCAGTGCACCAAGCTGCATGAACCAATGAATCCGCAAACAACAAAAACACCTCAGAGTGCGGGCGCGCCTGTTTTTTTTTTTTTTTTTTTTTGCGGGCTGTCTTAAAGAGAGGCCAAAGCGAAGGAACACAACAACTGAGATTCCTCGGCTTGGATCCTTCCGCTGGCCCCTTTTGATGGAAAATCCATGGGATTTCTCTCCACCCGGCTGTCTCGGTCTGGACCAGGGTTCAGCTTGATGCGGCACGGGCGGGCAATGCGGTCGTCCTGTTTTTGGTCACTGAACAACTGGTTGCATCGCTTCGATTTATTTATTCACGGTTGCAACATCTGACCTTTAAGTGCCTGTGGGCTTTTTCTCCGACCTGACAACTGAAGGGTGTAAGAGACAAACTGGCAGTACGTTGGGCATCGCCTTTCCGACCTGGCACCCACGAAGGTTTGCGAAGGCGAAGCTGCTTCAGGTTGGGACTTCAAGAGTTCACCTCTTGTGCGGAGTAGTTTGCATGTCCTTTTGCCATCGAAATATCGACGTGAAGTAAGTAAGGGTCCCTTCAGGCAGGTGATTTAGACAACCCCTACACTTTGCTGGAATTTATGTTGGCGCCAAAATCAGGGGACCCCCCCCGCCGGAGGACCCTGAAACAGGCAACTCGATGTATTGCCTCGGCTTCACACAAGTGAAAGTCACAGACCTTTCTCCGTCAACCAGTGACTCGAACACACGAGTCGTGGTGTTTACCTTCCTTTGCGCAAGTCCGAAGATTATGCTTTATACAAAAAATCAAAGCAGACCGCCGTTTTTGCACGGTGCTCGAGGTAAGCCCCCAACAAACCAACTCTGGGGCGCGTGATTGTTTTTGCGGGAATCCAATCTTCTCATCCCATGAAAAAGCTTTCCGTTTCATTCCATTTCTCTTGGCATCCCCAGGTAGAAGGAACCTTTTTCGGCAATGACTCCATGTCTGGCCGCGCGCGAACCCAACCAACAAGGGATTTGAAGAATACCATCCACTGAAAAAAGAGTCGATGCCCCATTGTTTCCCCCCCCACAAAAACAAAACCACAAATGGGTCCTCTGTTAACAACAGCGAACCCACAGGCACACCCACCGACTTCCAGCCGGAAGGAAGCACCACCACTCGTCTTGGAGCTCCGGGCTTGCGGTGAACTCGCTGCTGCAGGTATCCCTCGCGGCCCAGGCCTCAAGTCGCTCAAGTGCGCGAGCCGAGAGCATAGGTGTCCTGTTCAGGTGGGTTTGAGCGAAAATCGATGGGGAACCCACTGGTTACACATTTGGGTTCATGCCCCCGATGCCAGACAAATCCATCTATGTTCAACCGACAGAAAACTTCTGGAGAGGGTAGCTGATGCTGTGGTGGACGAAATCCGCACCATTTCCAAACCACGGCTGACACCATGAATTGACATTTACAGGAAAATCATCAGAAACCCTGGTTTCTGAACGGTGGCGCGAAATGGATTTCGTCGATCCACAGCAGGTGACCTTTTGGTTGGAGATCGATGGGTTTCCCTGGTCAATAAAAATGGGTATAACACCAATCTAATCTAACCAAGCTAACCTAAGGACACCTATGGTTGCGAGTTGCGCCGATTCTTGGGCACTCATAAGCTCATACCTTCCCAAGTGGAAGATACAGGTTCAACCATTGACTGACCTCACCTGCTTCTTCCCTTGTCGCACGGCTAATAAAGGGTGATCTGGGGCCACTAAAAAATGGTGGCCAAAAAAGGAAATCGTTTAAGTTCAGATCCTGCTCACCTTGGGGAGTTGCTTTTCCCCTTTTCCTTCACTTCCCCTCAACGGATCACTTGCCGAGTCTGGCCAAGCCGTGTCGGTGCCAGGAATTTGGGTCCACGACCCGTTGGGCGAAAAACGCCCGCGCCCACATTATCCCATCCGATGGCTCTGACAGCGTCGCAGCCTTCTGGGCTTTTCTCCCTTCATCTCTGGCAGCTTGTGTCGGCATCCAGCGGGCTTTTAAGCCTTCTGCGAGTTCGAGCAGCCTCCGAACGCCCTCAAAATATTTCCACCTTGACTCGTCACATCGGGCAGCCTCGCATCTGTCCGGCTCTCCTTTTTTGGCGTGCCTATGGACCACGGTGCGTGGCTGAATGCCAAGCTCCGTGGAGCAGGGGAAATGCTGCACTGCTTTCCCTCTGAGGTCAAGGATGCCAGTTTCGCTTGGTCACCAGAGCCATTTGGTCGACCTTTGATCAGTCGCGCAGCCAAGTCATAGGTGTCCATTTGGTAAAGTTGCTGGATTTTCCCGGCAAATAGCGCAAATCAAATAGGGCACAAACCCCATCTAAACCAGTGCCATCTATTACTAACCTAAAAAGGCCACCTATGAGCGAACTGCAATTCGGGACTCTTTGGTGGACATCATTCCGGTGGCGATTGCTGTCCAACAACCACTTTGGAGGTAGTTCCCCATTGAAACTCGTTGCAAACAAACTGTTTAAACATGTCTGAACACCTTGCCAAACTAGGTCTCTGAAAAAAAAATAGGCAATTCCCATCGCGTTTCCCTGGTAAATTAGTCGTTGGGCTACGGCAGGGTTGGGCTACGGCAGGGTTGGGCTACGGCAGGGTCTTGAAACAAATCTTGCCCACCCCCGGGCCATTGCATCCTGCCTCTGAAGCCTTCCGCCAGACGCTTCGCCTCAAACGACGCGTGAAGAGAGCCGTCGAAGCCCTATGCGTCGGTTCAATTGTTCTTTGCCATGTTGGAATACTCGGGCGTGTCTTGACAAACCAACGGACTGATCCTCAGAATTGACTTGCACAATCTTGCTGGTGCTCAGTAGGGAATGAGGGAATGAACCCAGGGGTCCCCTTATTAAAGGAAACCACAAGGGACGAAGTATTTCAATTGCGATGTTTTCTCAGCGTTTCCCTTTGCCTTCCTTTTCAAACAGCCAAACGACGTGACCGTAAACGTGGTTTACATGGTTTGCCTCCCGGTACTTTTAAAGAAAATACGATTCTCTGCGATGTCCCTTTCAAGCAGCCGAAAAAACGGCGCTTGTTTCCCTTGGATTCAAGCCTTGGATATTCTGTTCAAGCTGCACCACAAAATGTTAAAAAGGGCGCTTCCCGTTCATTTGAAAGCGCCCCCAAGCTTCCCCCCATTTTAACAAGACATTCTTAAACTCACCTGAGCCAACTGGTTGGAACCCTTCCCACCCGGCCCCAGACGTCGTTTCGAGAACAGACCCCCTCAATAAGGGACCCTCCCCCCCCCCCAAAAAAAAAGAGCCCCTCAAAATGCGACCACTTGAAGCGACAAACCCCCGCCAAAAAAAAAAACAAAAACATGCAACACACAAGCCACCGTTCGATCCACTCCGATTCGATCCACTGCACTAGTCACTGGCCGAAATCCGCCTCGCCCTGCGGCACGTGGCCCTCCAAAGGGCGCCTGAATCGGCTCGCTCGCTGCGAGGCATGGTGTCGCAACAAAAAGGGGCCCCGTTTTTTCGGCTTGGCATCCTTCTTTTCCGCGCTTAGCCTCTAATTTGTCCCTCTTAGAACACTCCTTTTTTGGGTGACCAGAGGGAAAGACGAGGCATTGCTTCTCAGAGTTGTGTCTCATTTTTGGGGTGACAAGAGGAAACTAGCGCAAAGAAGGCAAACTAGAGGATTTTCCTCGGGTGTCCTTCTAGGGTGTCCCTTTCTTTCTGCGTGGTATAAAGGCGGACTAGAAAAAACCAGACATGTTGCACCTATTTTGAGGCACACCAAAATTGACGCGAAACCTCCTTTCTGTTTAAATTTGCGGATTGCTACGTATTGATTAACCACGAAAAAGGACAGAGACTTCCCTACCGAATAACCATCCCGAATGTCAATCCAAAATGCCGCAGCTATGAATCAGGGTCCTGGGGTTCCCGATTCGTTGGGCCTGGACAAATCTTGAAAAACTGGGCTTGCTGCAGCTGTTCAGTTTCAATGTGAACGCTGATGAAAGGTCCCTTAACAAACATGGCCCTACGGCTCCATGTTGGGGCGGGTGCTATACGTCCTCTCGTAGCCTATGGCTGCTTCATTCACTTCTTAGGCCTTGCCATCTGGAGCAACTCCAACTCGACAGCCAGACGGGTTTCTCCGTTGACCTGGACAGAAAAAGTGGGCTCTCCCCGGACTCGATCAGCATTCAACCCACCGAACAAAACCGAGTAGTCCAGCAACTGGGTGCTTCCTTTTTTTGGTGTTCTTGACAACTGGGCGCCCGCACTTCAGGAAATCCATGGCATCTGAAGCAAATGATAGCAGACTGGGATGGACGTCTGAAAGAGCTCCCGGTGATCAGACGCATGTAACAGGAAGCCATTGAGCCAAGCCGTGGAGTGTCCATGCAACCCATTTCCGCAGTTTGGCTTCACATCAACTGACTTTGGTTTAACTCCCGGCGGTGTAACCGGCTGCAAGCACTTTGAACAGCGGGCGGCTGCATGCAGGATGCGAAAGCAATAGCCAAACCCCATAATGAGGCATGCACCTTGATGGAAACTTTGTATGTCAATATTTGTTGTTGGCCCCAATGACAGTAGATTTGGAAGGCAATCTCCCTC